TGGTTAAAAAGTAGTTCTTACGGGAAGAAAATTGTAACAACAAAGAACGCATTAAAATGTATTTCAGCTTATTTTACATTTCCATGAAAGTATAAAAATCTAATCTAATACATGCCAGTAAAAACTGCAGTTTTAAAAGAGACAGAGTAAGACAACACAGACATATGTTTTCTTCGTAACGTTGCTCTACCTGTTCTAACGTTGAACTACCATGTAAAGTTATTCTACACAGAACTTTTCCAAAAGTATCCTCTATAATGAAGAGGAAAAAAAAGATAAAATGCATGAAGAAAGCTAAACAGGGGAATTATAAACAGCATCTTATTTAGTAAGTTAGAAAAAAAATTCCTTTTTGTTATAGCCAGATCTGTTAGCTACTAAATAGGTTTCAAATATTTGTTTGGTCTCTTTTTCGGTTCGTGGTACTGTCTTTCATTTAGTTGCTGTTGACGAAGGCAGTGGTTTCAATTGTTGAAAGTGCTTCAGCTGGTATAAACCCCATGTCAATTAACGTTGGTTTTTTAGCAATCATATATGTTATATTTAATGGAAAATCAATTAATCAATTTGTCCACTGTATTTCCTTGTAGATGCATTCCTTTTTAAGTGTAGGCCCACCAGCGGCCCATCGATAAAGTCGCTGAACACTGGTAGTTCGGTCCAAGGTTCGAATCCCGCGAACGGGCTGGCTGCAAGGGCGTTTTCGTGGTTTTCCCCATGTGTAACGTGTATACGAGCCAGTTTCACTTAGAAAGTCCTCCACGAAAGCATCCCTCCCATTAGGCAGATAGCAATAGTGTGCTTTGTCGTAATTAAATAAACCAAACCAAACCAAACCTTTTAAGTGTTGTCTATCCCTTGTACCACTGCATGCTCCAAGAGCGTCTGGTTGCTCTAGAAGAAACCAGTTGTTGGAATTCTAAATTTCCTAGCTATGTCTAGAGTTAAATTCTGCAACTACTGTCTGCAGTTTTGAAATGCTTACAAAATTCTGTCGCGTAAGGTAAGATTTCACTACAGGTCCCTCAGACGGTACAGTGGTTAGAGAAGCCTACTGTGATATCAAAGGGCACGTTTGCGAAAGGAAAAGAGGAAAAGATTTCACTAATGAAGAGCCGAAAATAAATTGAAAAACATAAGTCTTTTGTGTAAGGGGATTATTTATAAATAGCACTTTTTTCCCCTTGTTAACCAAATACTTGATGATAATTGTATTATGCGAAGAATCCATTCTAAGATTTTTCCTCGGCGATTTGTTTTAGATGCCGGGTATTTTACTTTTCTGTAAAATAAAGAGCATCCTATCTTCTACTTCAAACCAAAATATCCCTGTATATTAAGTCATGCCAAATAAAAAAAGTTACAGAGAATTAACTTGAATATTTTCAAAAACTAAGTTTTTTTCCTCATTTCAAATAAACTCTTACAAATGCATTTAAAACGCTAACTTTTGTCATTGTCAAATAATGACTGGTTTAAAATACTCTGGATTATTGTCTAACATTTGGAAGAATTTCTGATTGTGTTTTATGTTTCAAATTTACCTCGAGTAGAAGATAACAGTAATACAAATTCTATTTAAAGCTTGCCCTAAAAATGATACTTTATAGAAAAATGCTGAAATATGTTTGAAATTATTACTGCTAATTATTATTTGGCAGGTTTGGTGGGGGTGATTAAAAAAGTATAACCTTTAAATTTTTGTAAATGCACTGTGTAGAATGTGAATAATGATCATAATTATAAAATGAATTTTAATTCCAGATGGTTGATAGACCGTATAAGGGAAGCCGACGTCAATGGAAATGGCAGCTTAAACTTCGAAGAATGCCTTGGCTTACTCAAACAACTCAACATTGGTATGAGGAGATCAGAGGCAAGGAAACTCTTTGATGTAAGTTTTCAAGCCACAAGAATAGCGTTTAATTGTGTTATTTATTTCTAATTAAAATATAATTTCATTTTTAGACTGGAATTCATTTATTAATGTTAGTTCATCATACTTTACGTATTTATGATAAACGGCAAATCAGAATTCATTTTCGTGTATGTGGAAGAATTTATTGTTTCCTTTTGATCTTTCCAGATAATTTATTGCAATTGAAAAATTTTATTACATGTCATTATTTGCATAGTAAAAGGTACATCATTAGGATCACTTAGGTAAAACAAAGAAGATGATTAGAAATGGAAGTAAATGTTAGTATGATGAATATTTCCTCATCATAATATACGCATTGCAGTGAAATAGCACTTCCATAATGAAGCAAGTGGAAATTTATTGGACGAATTAGCAAATCAAAATGAAGCGATCGCAAATCAATTTTCAGTTGGTTAGTAATTCGTAATTATGAATGTATATAAATAATAATACTTTCACACTAATTTGAATAGGATGCTTTTAATGACATAAATAATTTTTACTTCAGATTAGGTAAATAAATACATTGAATTGCAAGAAGTTTTAAGAAAAAACTTTTGGTCTTAATATGCCGATAATAAATTGTGTTAAAATAGCAAACAAAATTTATTTGAATGGGTTATATATGAATTTTATGAATTTCTTCATATGTTATTTAATTTTATATTGTGTCTTAGAATATGAATTTTCATACTTAATACACGGAGAAACTAAAAGTTACGAAAATGTTATCTAATAACTCACTGGTGCTTCTCGACGTTTCAGAAATGAGGCACACATTGACTCAGTGAATTAACTAATTTGCCAGTGTTGTTCTCCAAGCATAGCCACCTACGTGCTCTGCTGTCTTGGCTGCAGCTTCATACAACTGAATGATACTGGGCTTGTGGATATTATGTTTATTTAAATTGTTACCACAAATGCCTCGAGAGGTGTTTATTAAGACACCAAGAAGATTAATAATTGCTGAATATTCCTCGCTCTACAACATTACAACTAAAGAATAGTGACACGTTGTAGGAAATTGTTAAAGCTGTCTTTCACTTTTAAGACGCTTGAGAATCATGAAGAAGTCTGTGAGAACGTCAGCACAGAAAAGAATTTTCATATAGACGATTATTACTATTGTATTCACTATCGAAATTAACTTGCTGGAATCCTTCATTAAAGCCAAAAAAGAGCATATGTAATCTAACAGAATGTCACCAAACGTAAGAATTTTCAGCAACCTCAAACGGAGGAGAGAAAAGAATGTAGACCACTTGAACAGCTCCCAGACTACAGCTGAACCACTTAGAGACTAAAACACTCTTTAGAGAGAAATATTTTAGAACTGCATGATGCCTACTCCATAGTTAAGCTCACATTAGTGTGTAGCAACAAAGACGTAATAGATTTATTTTACGTCTCTGACTCTTTTAGTTTTAATTTTAGAAAATGGCGTTAGTAAAAATGCTGTAGATGGTTTCTATTTTTTTTAATTTATTCTTTTAATTTTATTGACATTTTCCATATGTAAACTGAATAAATTACTTTTATAAAAATCCTTTTCTTCCACAGAGAGTTAAAATTGACGGACAAGATGCTTTAGGACCGGAAGAGTTTATACATCTGTACCGCATCTTAAATCACAGGCCAGAACTGGAGGAAATAATGAAGAAGTATGTTCAATGAAAATTCATATCAAAAACTGTATTTCGGTAAAAAAGATTTAATGACATATATTCGAAATTTCCTTGAGTAACAATCGTAAAATTATAATAAAAATTATTAAAAATAAATTCATTACATAAAATAATTTGGCTTTTGGAGAGAGATTGATTGGCATAAAGAAATAGTTGCGGTGAAGGCCGATTTTTTACATTTCTTTTTATTCTCAATGATAAACATTTTTTAGCCAACACAGGTAAAGCATCAAAATGTTTGCAGCCTTTCTTGAAGCTTTTAGATGTTACAAGTGTTGCGGTAAAAAACGAAGCAACAGAAAATAGTCTAGGGGGAGAGAGAGTAACGGAGAGGAAATGTGACTTGTCTAATATGAAAACTGGGTTCAAAGTAATTTAGTTTCGGTCTAGCTGTATTTTGATTGGCTAATTTTAACTTTCTAAAATTATTATTGACACAAGTGTTTATGTAAGTACTTGCTCGAAGTAAAAATTATATGACATGTATTAATTTTGAAATAACGCAGTTTAAATGGATTTATTTATAAGAAATTGCTATTTTTAGGACAGAAAAAAAAAGAAATACAAAAATTAAAATAATGAGTAAAGGTATGACTGCAAATTAAAGTTAGAATTCTGCCTTACATATTTTTTTATTTTACATTCATATCTTATGAAGGAATATCATAAAGCAACAAGGGGGCTTGGCAGTTTTGACTTGACGAGAAGTTTCAGATAAAAAGATACTTGTAGCAATCTCACACTTGTCTCTAACTCACACGTCTGCGTGCAATTAGCGAAAAGTCACATAGAATTAAATTGGTGCATAAGTCGAGATGAGCACTTATGCTGAATTAAATGTAAAGCGTATGAAATAAAGAAGGGATATTTTAAACAATTTCTACAGTAGAGAGTTAGTTTGAAAATGTGGATATTAAAATGAAGATTATTCGTATTTTTTCTCGAGTTGTGATAGCGTAATATTTTACCCGATCTTTATTTAGAGCATGCTTTCCAAGAAAATAAGAAAAATACCTCTCATCAGTAGATGTTGAGGATATCTGGTTTGGGGCATTGCTCACTTATAAGGCCAAGCAAGATCAAGCGAACAATAAAGAGCACGTTTCAAAAGTTTTCTCGTCTACAAAAGTTTTAGGTTTGGTTTATTTGATTATGGCTAAGTGCATGAGGGCTATCTACCTAAGGGAAAAGATGCCTTCATGGATAACTTTCTAAAGGAACTGACTCGTATATACCTTACACGTGGCGAAAGCCACGAAAATGCCCATGCAGCCAGCCCGTTTGCCGGGAACCCCAGAACCATAGACCCCAGGCCGAACTATCAGTGTCCAGTGATTTTACCGCTAAAAATGTTTTTAACGAATATTTAAGTATTATTACATAAATATTACATCGATGAATGTTTAAAAGAACCAAGAACCTTCCAAATCATGCAAGTCAATATTTCAAATATGTTGGTTAAGTTGTATGCATGTGGAATTTTACTTTCTTTCTTTTTCCAGTTCCAAGGAAATGTACTAAATCTATAAATTTAAAATTCTGAACATATTAATATAAAATTTTAAAAGTAAGACATTCAGACAGTAGCGCCAGTTATAATCACTGTCCGAAAGTAGTACAGTGTTTCGACTTACATTTATTCCTCTATGTTGAATTCTTATGTAAATTATTATTCACGCAATATGAGTAATTACTTGTTTTTATTTATATATTTTTATTGAAATAATGTATAATAATAATCATTTTGCATTAAATTCGTATAACTAAAATAATTCATGATAAGTCAAAACACTTCGTATATAAATATCAATGTTTAAGACACCACATTATCAATGTTTAAGACACCATCATTCCACAGTAGCCAAACTGCTCAATAACGATTATTTCTAATGGTTGATGCTGTGTAATTAGGTTTTTCATCTTGCTTAATTTTAATACATGCTCCTTAGTTTTTTAGAAGTTCAGTTTTTGGATAATTTATCGTATTTATTTTCTGTCAGTTGTAGAATTATTACATTTATTTTCGAAACGGGAAACGTGGAAAATTAGCAAAACTCTCTTCGGGTCTGGAATCCGGACTTTCCCACTATTAGGTAAACGTGCTGTCCAATTACATGGTAAGAAAGGAGAAAATTCCGTACGTTCTTTCTCACTTAAACAGCGACTGGAGAGAAAAGGACCTAATTGCCAAATTCTATTGACGAATTATCCTTCACAATCTTTCATTCGAGTGCCACTTGTAGAGTCATAAAGTTCTTATTTTTTCCCCCAAGCCAAGAATCGTGTGAATTTAGCAGTGCCTTAGTCACGATTTGAGCTCTCTGGATCCTCCGACTGCTAGTCGAATGCGCTTCTGATTACACGGCACGTGATAACGAGGGAGAAAAACCTTACAAGTTTAAGACTAGATTTTAAGGTTGGAAAGGCATTAGAGAAAAACTTTTAAAAATTGTGGTCAAACCAAAAAGAATCGGTGAACTATATTTGAAGTTCCAGCTCTGGGTATAATTTCTTAATTTTGTATTTTCTATGAGCTAAGGTTTTACAAGGCCCTGAATAGTGCCTTTTTATCACTCCCATATTCCATCCTCGAATACGTTTCATTTAGATACAACATTTTAAGATAATGTTTTATTTTTTTTCTTCATTTTTTTACGTGTTGTAGCATGATGAAGAGTATATTTGGGTAGGAGAGTTAAAATTATATTAAAATAAACATCAAACGAAGATTTTATACATTATGTGTAATTTTATTGTACTTCTTCATTGTAAAATAAACAAATGGACAACATATATTTCTTTAAAACTGATTTCATACTTAGTCTTCTAAACTTTGGTAATTCAATAATAATTAAAGCATAAATAAATTCTTACGCAAAATACAGCCTCAAACCCAGTTTAGTTTTAAGTTTTCAAAAAGTTTATTCGATATAAAATCTTGCTTAAAAACTGACTAAGAAGGAAAAACTACCAATCAAATTCGAGTACTTTGCTAAAAGGTGTATACTTCCTGAACTTTAGTTTGTAGAAACATTAGGATATTATTTTTAAAGTAGGAGTGATGAAGAATTAACAAGCGGCTTCTCCACGAATCGAACCACGGACCTCTGGAATACCAGCCCAGCGTGCAGAACAACTACACCACGAAGGCACGCTAGGAAGGCGGGAGAAAGACCTTATAAGTTGAGGAATTGTATTGAAACGTATTTTAAGGAATTGTTTCCGAAACACTACTTCACTTTTTAAATAAATGCTTTTGTTTACAGATGAATTAAAATTAACATTTGACAGCTTAATTTCTAATTAATTAGAACATTTAAATATCTATAATATAATTTACCTGAAAAATCTCTGCTTATTTATGTGACTTTATTATTGTAATCTAAGTCTTCACTTTTTAGGTTCTCAGAATTATAAACACTGGAAATCAAGGCACTTACATTAACTTATTTTCATTGAAATTTCTTCTCATTTTCAAGAATTTGTAATAAATAATGCGTTGCTTAAAATTCTTTGCTTCAAATTTTTGTTTGCTTATAACAGCCATTCTTTCATTCCAGGTATTCCGCCAGCCGCTCTGTCTTATGGGATGCTGAAGAGTTAAGAACATTTTTATATGAAGAGCAACGTGTAAGTCGATTTACTAATTTCATAAAATATTCATTTTCTATTTGGCCTACACATATTTTTTCAATGCGTATTTTTCGATAAGTCTTATCATTTTTAAATCCTTTACAGAGAGGCAACTCTTCCGCAGTGCCATAGCATATCAGCTGTTTATAAGATTTACTTCTTAATTTATTATTTCATTTTATGCTGCGTAATCAATAAGGAATAAATGGGGTACTTAGAAATTCAAACATTTTTTAAAAACATGCTGAGCGTTTTGATACGATATCATTGGAAAGTCATGATTTTTAATTTATAAACTAGAGAATTGCGTTGAACTAGTAGTGAAAAGGAATTATTGAGCCAGATTGTGGAATAATTCTGTACTATTTTGGAATAATACGGTCGGCAATATAATAGCTCATTAGTTTTCCTATTTTCTAAAATAAAGTAAAATTCAACTTTATACGGAGTGTAATTTTAGCGAACTTCTATGCTTGAAGAGAACATGATACATTTTGAAAGAGTGAAGATATTCCACTTCACCTTTGAAGAGGATTCAGTCGTACTCGTACATCCCGGATTAAAGCTAAGTTCTTAATCATTAAAATTCGAAACTCTTAAATTGTTCTTATCTCGTAAATACTAAAATTAATATCTAAAATTTATTAGCCCAAAGGAGCGTTAGCCTAGAAGGGTTATTAGTCTCGAAATGGCATTTTGAGTTGAAGCTTTTTTCAAATTGTTGCCACCGATTATTATCCCCCTGTATTATATTTAAAGATATTAAATAATAAAGAATATGCATGAGTGTAATGCATGTTTTTCGCATTGTGAAGAAACGACGGTATCTAGAGCCATCAAATTTTGAATTGAGTGATCTTCCACCCAAACATAGGCACCTGGAAGGTCAAATTTTGAATTTCGAATTAGTTTTATTATCTGTTTCATATTTTGTAGAACATTAACAAATTTTTGATTAACAAACTCAGCCATTTCAAAGCGAGCAAATGCAACACTGTAAGGTAAAAAAAAAAAAAAAATTTTATCTCCAGTGCGTGAGACTGTCAATCGGAAATTCTAAAGATACGCTTGTAAAGATTATGTTAATTTTATTAACAGTTAAATTTGAAGTTCCTTTCCTGTCAAATTCTTAACTTCAACTTACTACTTCCGGCCAGAACGTAGTTTTGGAATTTGCTGAATATTTAATGAGAAGGAGCGGTATTTAAACCACGAAGTTACTTACTGAGACAGAGGGAGAAACAGAGTTTCTGAACTACGCGCGTCTGCCTTTTTGGCCGCTCTCTCTCTCAAAGCTGTTATACGCTCGGCCGTACTCAGGCCCTTGCTAAGCTTCGTAGTAAAATAGGTTAAGGGGCCAACTCTCATTGAACCTTGATAGCTTCGGCTATACTTAGTTAGTTCATCTTAGTTTTAGTTTAATTCTTAGTCTTTTAAGTTCAAGTCCAAAGTACGGACTTTATTTGTTCACTCCCAGGCGGAGTTTTGTTAAATCCTATAGAAATAATAAAGGGTTATTTACCCTTCTCTCTTGTTGTTTCCTGTCTTCGAACTCTAGCGATTATTCGCTTATCAGTTCCTAGGTTCCTCACTTCCAACATTAACTTAGGGTTTCAAGTGAGGGACCTTACACGCTGTTTTTAATATTTTGTGGTATTGGTGATGAATTGAATTCAATGTGCTTTACTGAGAAGACATGATATTTAATAAATAAAGGTAACGCATAAAACCTTAAAAAAAGCCCCTTTAGGGGTAATACAGGGAGTCCGAATCAAATGTACCTAATTTGGAGAGGTCGCTCTACTTAAAAAAAAGTTTAAAAGCATAAGAAAACTGTAAAATTAGATACCAATACTCACAAAGATTTTATTAAATTAAAAAATCATTACAATTCCACGTGAGCTCCCTTAGTAGCCCTGAGAATGTCCAGCCGGCAGTCCAGTTCCAGCAATGTCCGGTGTAGCATTTCCGGAGTCGCAGTAGCAATACCCGAAGTTATGGAGGCACGAAGGTCAAGGTCTTCAGTATCACGGATGTTCCCTGCGTAAACTGTCTTTCACGTAGCTCTAAAAGAAGAAACCGAGAGGTGTCACGTCGGGAGATGTTGGTGGCCAGGCAATTGGGCCACCGCGTCCTGTCCATCGGTTAGGGGAAGTTGTATCTAAAAATGCGCAAACATGCTTGCCCCGGTGAGGAGGGGCCCCATCTTGTTGGAAGATAACTGTGGGTTGTAAGTGCTGCTTTTGGGGTATTGTGTAACATCTCCAGGTAAATGTTTGCCGTCACAGACGTCTCAGCAAAGAAAAATGGTCCTACGACTACATCATGTGATAGAGCACACCAGACATTGATTTTGGGGCTGCTACGTTCCAATTCGAGTGGTGAATAAGAGCCCCAAATTCTGCAGTTTTCGATGCAGTTTTCGATGCAGCACATTATGAATAGTTGCTCGTGGTACAGATAATTCAGAAGCTGCCTGCCTGATCGACTGACAAGGGCTACGAACGAAAGCTTGTCGAACATCTCTTCCACACGTGAATCAGAATGTGAAAACCGATCACCTCCGGATCTTTTCCGGACACTTCCCGTTTCTAGAAATGTTTTCTGCCACCTTTTTATGCTCTTAGCTTGAGGTGGATTTCTTTTATAAACTGCTTGAAACATTCTTTGTACTTTTACTATGGATTTGTGTTTTGCATATCAGAGAACAATCAGTGCCTTCTCTTGCGGTCACGCCATTTTTCCGTTTGTCGGCTCAGCAAAAGCGCAGGTGCGTTAGACGTGAGAAAAAATTATTGTCACAAACTGTACGAATTCAGCTCCCACATGTGGCCATTGTCGCCTTGCAGCGTTAAAACTTTGTTTTTAATCGACTGTTTAAAATAGGTATATTTGATTCGGACACCCTGTATAAAATCTGAAAGCTTTCAGATTCTTTTTAAACTGATATTTTTCAGTCTTTCATTATAAGCATCAATTTTAAACAAACACTTTAATTTTACCAGCTTAATCACGATTGGATTAATGTCAACGATTGAATATTAATAATGCACATGTTATCTATTTTTGAGCCGGCGGATCGACATTTCTACAGATTCTAGAAACTGAGAAGTTGCTTGATAATTTGCATTTCGACCTTAATGAGCCGTCTTTTAAGAACGGAAGATTTGTAGTTTTACTGCTGCTGAGCTTATTTGCCTTGGCTGCACCTTACTCGGATGCTTGTTTGTAATCCACTTCATTTTTCTCTTTCTTTCTTTCTTATTTTATTCAAAGCTATTTCATCAAACTTTAATCAATCAATGAATGTTTTTGTTAATTCAATAAAAACGTGCTAGGCAACATTTAGCAGCAATATACATGGATGACACTTGGAAATTTCTTATTTATACCTGTACTATTAATTTGCAAAATGAAATACTGTTAATCCTGGTCTTTACTGAACTTACATGTCTTAAATTACTACAAGTAGGATTTCGCTTTCGGCGATCTTCGATTTTCAAATTGGTGATTTATGGGTGGTACATAAGGGCAGGAACTTCTTCTGGACTTTAGCAAAGGCAATGAACAGAAGAGTGAGCAGCTAAGCATTTCTCATAATAAAGTTACCGCCGAAGGACTTCAAACCTCTTTCGACAGGAGCATCTTAATCAGGAAGCCCAGAGGGAAGTTTCTCATTGTAAAGATAAAGGTAATACAATGGGGACATTACTTACTGCATCCATTAAAAGGGTTTCTGAAGAGGTGGGAAGAGGTCCCGGTGATAGACAAACATTGCCATCCCACATAGATTGTACATAAAGTAGTAGATATGTTGAGTGATAATGCTGTAGTACTTAAGAGCAGTTACGAGGAAGATGTAGATTTACTACGCTTTCGAAGAGGGAATGGATTTCCCTGTTATCAGCTAGATGCGTTAACCGCTTATGCAATGAAAGTATGCAGAAAAGGAATGCGATAATTCCTTTCAAAGGTAAGCATTTTAGATAACGTCTTGAAACCCGAACCTCTTCAAAAGTGAAAGGATAAATGAGGCTTCTGTATCTACTGAAAACTGAGAAGATTGATTCTGAATTGAGCTGAAAAACTGTATGAGGGTGCATACATGCATAGTATACGTAAATATTCATTATTTCCTAATACATTACTAAATTCCTAGCATCTTCAGCAGTGGTTGAGCTTTGAATTTTCTCTGAACATTGTTACGTCATTTTTGAGATTCTGGACCTAGTTGGGAACGAAATAAAAATATTCTCTCACCTATGGAAAACAACATCCTGCACAGCGAAATTCGTCTTGTAATAGACTGTGTTCGTTACGACGCGAAACAGCACTGTAAAATCAAGGACAAATTTTCTAAGATGTGTAACTTGTAGAAGTTAGTTACAGAGAAATTGAAACAAAATTTAGAGGTCTAGTATAGAAATTAAATATATAGTCATCTCGTACGGACTTAGTCGAAAGGCGAGTCAATAAGGCTGAAATGCATCATTTACATTTTTGACTGCAGCTTATTAAATTAAACAAAACATGCTTTAAAAAACACATTGCTTCTTCTATGAATGTGTCGCTACTTAGCATGCCTTCGTGGTTCTGCACATTGGGCGCGTATCCAGAGGTCCGTGATTCGATTCCCGGCGAAGGTGTTGTTCATTTTTCATAACTCCTGCTATTAAAAATAACTTATCTCTCTACAACTCCACTGCACGGTTACTTTCTCTCATACTCGCCTCTGAGTATATCAGTAGTTAATCCATAAGTTCTATCAGTGGTTATATAAAAGCTATATGAAGTAATAGTTAATCTTGGATACTATTTTAAATGGGTAATCTTCACTATAATCTGTTACCCCGTCGTATCTCTTGGTGATTTCTACTTTTTTTAAATACGTATTCAATTTTCGTGATTTTGAATAGGACTGAGTTGGAAAAGCAAAGAACACTATAGCATATTATAAAATAACAAATGACCTAATTAAAACAAAACCTATAAATAAAATCATATTCTTATTTCTCGTTCATGTTTGGGTTTTATTTCTCTAAGAGATAAAAATCACCTTTAATGTATAACTACAAAGTATATTTTAATTCATAGTCAAAAGTTTTGTAATATGAAAAATGAATTTTTTAATTAGGATTCTCTCAGCATTGAAGATTGTAAAGATATGATTGATGAATACGAGCCAGAAGAAAATAAAAATTCTGGTTTCTTATCTTTAGAAGGTAAGTTGAGACTGTTTCATACACGTAAATTAAATTGCGTTTACTTTTAAAGGCAAACTCAACATTTACTCCTAAATAAAAATGAAAAAAAGTCAGGGTGAGAGTGACTTAAATTTCCATAAAAAATTTTTACAACTTAAAAAATCATTAGTTTTCAGAAAACAGGTTGCATTTTATTTTTTAAAGTGTAGAATTTATTACATAACAGGGCCGACTGCCAGAATATAGGGACATATATAAGATGTTCAGGAAAATTTGATTCGAAATCCTGATAAATCACAAAGACAAGCATCACGAGAAAGTGGTTTAACCTGACACATAATCTGAATTCTTCTGAAGGGAGAGGTTGAATTTTTATCTATGAAAACCACATTATTGACCGGGAAAAAGACTGGTCCAATCATTTCGCAATATATTGCGAAAAACTGGGAGGCTAGAGTTATGCTGAGAGGTTTGATAACCGTTAGAATCTAGAGAAGAGAATTACCCATGTTCTTTTAAACTAGCACTGGAGTACATGTAAAAGCCTGTAGCAAATATTTCCAATATTTTACAAAAACTGGTAGATAACAGTGGTGTTAATACGAAATTTTTACAATGCTAATAATTCTACCATTGTAAGGAACAAAATGCTTTATGGTTAATTAAAACTAAGTATGGATTTTAAAATTATAAAAAATTTTCGAAGAAGGTTAATTCTCGTCCATCCTGTAGAAATGAATTCTTTGTTGGAAATGGAAAATAAGTAGTTAAAAATTTAAACAACAAAGAGATCAATGGCAAATTTAATTTGCTTATGTGATAATTAATTTTCAGTTTTTATAGTTTTCTCAGAGAATTCTTTTATTTTTTTAAGAAGGAAGATTTCATATATTTTTCTAACTAAAATGTATATATTGGGTTTTAATTAAAGTTTCCCGACATCGCAAATATCGTCTGCGCAAACAGTTCGCCTTGGCATGTTTAATCATATTTTGTCAAACGAATTTTTGATATTTGAAAGAAAGAGAACTTTAGAACACTGTATTGTGAAATTTGTAAAAACATATCGTTATCATTAAGCGCAAGGTGTCTGAAATGGAATTATCACTCTACCAGACATCATTTACTTCTCATTCTTTCATTTCCCTTTCTTACATTTACCTCCTTTCCTTTCATTTACATTCTTTCAAGTTCTGTTGCAAAAAGTCAGTTACAGAATGTCCCCAAATCATGTGTACAGATTTGGGTACTAATGCTGTATCATATGACACTGTGACGATTTGGTACTGAAAGTTCAAAACCAAGGACTATGACATTCAAGAAGCAGAGCGATTTGGCCGGCCTACTGATGTTTGATGAGGCCGCCTGCGAGAACCTGTGGAAGATCAGTATGCAGCCACTCAAGACCTTGCTAAGGAATTAGACGTTAGTGCCATGTCCATTAGTAGCGCTATGCATCGCATAAACTTGACATACAAGTTCAGTCGCTGTGTGCCGCATGAGCTGACTTAAGCAGATAAGAATAGACGTGTTCGAGCCTGCACAAATCTGCTCGAACATCAAAGCAAAGACAAAACTCTGGCCCGGATCGTCGCTTGTGAGGAAAAGTGTATTTACTTCAACAAGACTTGCCGAAAGCGAGTTGGTCTGCGCCCGATGAGCCCGTCGGTAGCGTCGCAAAGCGCAATTGGATTAACAATAAAGATCATGCTTTGTATCTGGTGGGATTGCCGCGGTATTATTCATAAGAGTATCCTGAAAAAGGTAAAACCCTTGACAGTAAGGTTTGCAGCGAGATGCTAGTCCGTGTTGATGCTGCTATCAAGGAAAAACATTGAACTGAGTTCCAGTGCGAAAAGGTAATGTTTCACCAAGACAATGCAAGACTACATGTGTCTGAATTCACCGACTGGACTCTGTACGGACTCGAATGGGATCTTTTACCGCACCCAGACCCGACATCATTCCATTGGACTTCTACCTTTTGTTCTCACCTGCAACTATATCTCGCTGGTGCTGTCTTCCACGGAAACTCTATACATATAACGTGTTTATAATTATACATTCATCTACACAGGAATGAATCATCTACATAGTCATGCTGTATATATGATTAATATTACATTTACACAGTATTATTTATGCATTTATCATATAGCGCACACAATTAGTTATATATTTACACATGATGAATCTGACTGCCATATTCGATCTAGATTCGAATATGATGGACGGGATGACACATTGGTGTTATCTTGGTCTTCCCCGAATCGGGGTCTTACTAGTAAATAAATAAAACACCGCATAACATTTCCCAAATAATCATAAATTTTCAGCAAATCTAGTATCATTACCTTAAGAGTTATTTTAAATGGAAAATATACCTTACTTTATAAGGTCTGACTGCTTTCGTTAATAATCTCAGCGCTTTGTTTAGCGGACAGTGAGAAATATTGCTAAATCGCTAACCTTAGAATAAAAAATTCAGTAGTTCAAAACGGAAATAAAAATTTATTTCATTACCCTTATATTTAAAGTCTAAATTTGAAATGCGACGCGTCACAGTACAACAATAGAAAAAAAACTATATTATTAAATATTTGATTAAAATCTGCTTTATTCATGCTTTCAAAATTGTAGTGATAAAATTTATTAAAGCTGTTAAGTTGCTATTAAACACCTCTGGTTTATTCTAATGTGTCTTTTCATGACATTCTTTCCGAAATTGTTTCTTCATAGCTAAACCTTAAAGTTTTATATTTATTGAACTGAATCTTTTCAGGATTTCAGAAGTTACTGACTATGGGCCAAGAAGATATCTTCAACAAGAGGCATCGCACTGTATATCAGGACATGACTCAACCTTTAACGCATTATTACATAGCTACTTCTCACAATACGTAAGTGCGTTTCACACCCACATGAATGAAATAAAATTTTTTATGCAAAGATTTTCTGAACTCATTTAAAATAAAGTGCAATAATACATACATAATAGTTGATGATATTACAATAAAGACCATTTAAAAAGTCATATGAATGGGAAAGATGTGTGATAGAAATTTTGGTCTTAGATATGATACGTATGTTTTAGTAGCAGACGTTTTATGCTATTATTTTAGTACTGCTAAATTTGGTTGTATAATCTTACTTTTAATTTGCATGAAATGTTTGTGTGGATTTATTTGGTTTTATTAACCTGTTATTTTATGTTAATTGCCTAAGATATCTTTCTCGCTTTCCGTTTTCTTGCCAGAGTACTTGTTCGCGCTTATTCAAATAAGGTAAAAAAATGTTTAAAGGAAACTTTTCAGATGGTGGAATCAGAGCATGTTCTGCCTGTTGAAGACCACGTTTGTTACTTTATTCTCTTTATAGAAGTTTACCTGTAGCCTCATATTATTCTCGACACTAGGTTTGTCACGCCGATATAAGGTTTGAGCCACATTTTGCGCATTTTGTCTGTGTAGCCTTTGAGCTAACTTACAGTTCACTTAGTTAAGTTAAATTCGTTATTTTTGATTTACACCATAAGTGTTGCTGATTCTGTAAGCATTAGCAGTGCTTTCTGACATTCTACTGATTTTAATAAAAGAGTCTTTTACACATTTTCAATTCTCTGTTGTAATTTCCAAGCCACAGCGAAAATCTCCTCAAGTCTTCCAGAGTTCTCTTCTAGTTTATGTTACCAAAGCAGGTGAGACTCTATATGCTATTTGTGTTTTTAAAAAGTTAAAATATTTTTTTTAAATCTTAAGAATTCAAATTGCATAATATATAATGCAAAAATGAAATGGCCGCAAATTTTCTCAATAGCTCATCTTAAGCAAATGAAATTTGTTTCCCAATAGTTATTTTAACTATAAAAAACATAAGTGTAATATGACATATCATTAAGCGTCTATTACTAAATCACGATAAAAATGACGTATAAACGAAGTTATATGCCGTTTAAATGAAATGTGTTACTAGTAGTATGAACAGTAATGAACCGGAATAGAGATACAACGACACATAAATATAAAAAACATATAAATAAGGAAAATGTAAATAGTAATAATAATAGTAATGATTTAGCATAACGATTAATATTTTGCTCATATTTATTTCGAACAACGAAATGAAATGTTTTAAAGTACTCTCTAACCAAATAAATGTTTAATTAAGTTATAAGTAAAACTAAATGTTATATTTTTTAATTAATAATCTGAAAATATATTTTAATATAAAAAATGATCCTCCATTTTGATTTTTAGAACTTTCAATAATATATTTTGGATAAAATTGAGTATTTTCTTAATGTAAACTAAGCATATTTATTTATTAAATTACGTTAAATCTTGACATAACATATCTTTCTTTCCCTATGAAAGAATGAAATGTGAATTACTTAGAAAGAATCTATCCCTATGAATCCCTATGAATTACTTAGAAATTACTATACTATACTATACTTACTATTACTATGAACTATCCCTATGAATTACTTAGAAAGTGGAAAAAATACATCATGGGGGGGGGAAACTATGAAAACATTATTATGTGAAGAAACCAGTTTCAGTAGTGCTTTTCTTATAATGTTTTCAGTTGCAAAAGCTTAGCATGTTAGCTAATTGTTTATCTAGCGCTCCTTGTTACTAATCAGTTGCTTAAAACCCTTTGCAGCAAATTACATCATTCTCCTGCAGCATCCTATAAATACTGAAATAGATTAAAATGTGGTAAACTCTACTTGGATAATGTATATCAATGTACATTTGATAGTAATGTAGAATTTGGTTACGTGCTCAATTAATGTAAAATATGGCTTTGGCCTAATGAGTGTACATGCATTTTGATAACTCTATAAATATGCTATTGATTTGTCGCAGATCATTTGTTAAGAATATGGTTGTTGTAGATGCAATAGGTAGTACGTCAAAAAATGTCCGTTTTTAAACTATAGCATCATTTAATGGAAAGTGGCATATAGCATAATTATATCATCGTAATATTGACATAATTATATCATAGTATGGCAGGAAAGAAGAGTGAGTTTAAATACATACACATTTCTCCTTATGTGGTTATAAGTAGAATTTGTTTCCCAATCACCTACACTGAGAATTACCCAGTGCCCAGGCCATAATCACTGCTGACCTGTTGGTTTTCATTCACTAACATAGGGCAATACAGTGCTGTTACGGTAGCAACTCTTCCACAAGAAATATATGGATGTATATTGTAACGTAATATAATGTACCATATCGCAGCACAAGTTTTAAGAAAGACTCCACCGGAGGTATTCTTAATTTTAAGAAGAAGGAGGTAACCAAAATTTAAAAGAAAACAGCTTAACTGCAAGTTTTCAAATAACTCTACATTAAAAATATATTTTTACATTTTTAGTTATCTTTTTCTCTAAGTTAATAAGAAGGCAAGTTATCCATGCTGAGACTTTTACAGGTTCATATAATCTTGAAGCACGTCTTTGTACGAAGTACTAATTTTTTCAATTAGGTAACATAAGCTTTCAAGTGAAACTCAGTAGTTTTTAGAAATTATTCAACAGCTTTCAAACACTCGATTATTTGAAACTTACGATTATGATATGCGTTATTAACTACCTTGTTAATTATTTTCGTCTCTAAACATTTAGGCCTTTAAATACAGCGCCACATATGTAATTTGCGTAAGTAATAATTAATTCAATCTTTTCATATGTCACCTGTAGTCTAAATATATGTGTTTCAGAAATTCAATTGGCTTCTTTTTTTCTTCAGATATCTCATTCAAGATCAACTACTTGGTGAGAGCAGTATAGAAGGATACGTTCAAGCACTGAAGCGAGGTTGCAGGTGTCTTGAGCGTAAGTATATTTATGCTGAAATTTGTTTTTACGTAAAATATCACTGCTATCAGGTTAACTGAATTATTGATTAATAGACCATAGTGGAAAATTAAGATATCAGCATCAAGTGAGATGCGTATTAAATACATGCTTTTTCAACTCTGATGGTATTGCTGTTCTATTAAATTCTATTACATTTGTACAAGCAATACGGAAAAAAGTATTACACATGTGTAGACAACGTTCGGAACGTCTACAACGTATACCACCTCAGTCTATCTTGAAATTTCTGAAATATGCAGTGGCAGGTCTTGTTGGCAATAGCGTCCTCTAAATGCATTTGAGAAAATCTACAGCAAACTGCTGTTGCAGTTGTGCCTTTATACAGTGGCTGTATAAAGGAAGTTGCCAAATAGAGAACAGTGGGTTTATACAGTTATCATTCAGAAAAAAGTATCTGAAGTGGCTCCTATTAATTCATTTTAATCTGTTGAACACTTAGTCTAACGAATTCTACAAATTCTTTGTCTGTACTATATTGCGCCATTTTCTGCTGGTAAAAGAATTTCAGTAATTCAGTGTAGTCCTCAAATATGTCATCTGGTCATACTTTGCAGAAAGAACTTTTGAACAAAAGACAGAACAGAATTGGGACACAACCAATAATATTAATTTTACGAAAAGTGAATATTTTTGAAAGTTAAAAATAAGATTATAAAATAATTTAATTTGTATTTCAAAATGAAGAAAATTTCAGCTTGCGTTAATTCTAGGGATATGCAGATAAATGTCCCCAGTATCCGTCATAATCTCTCTTCTCAAAGGAGCGAGTCAAATTATATTCAAATTATTATTCAGATTACTCAGCAAATTACGTTTGTTCCTAGAAAAAGAGAAGCTTCTAAAATTATTGCAAATATATAGTTGAATTTTGCTTTGTTTCAAAGTTATTTTGCCTTTATTATATCCATTATTTCTTATATCATTATAACTTTGTAGACCATTATTACTTTTAAACCACACCGTGTTCATAAAAGTCCTTAATGAAACTTTATTTTCGCAACCATTGGACGCAGACTTCTACGTTTAATTACAGAAACCTCTTAAATGATATTCACCATACTAACGATAATTAAATGATATTAACAAACATTCACGTTTTGGAATTTTTAAGTTGAAAGAAATCTATTTTGTAAGAATTTTGAAATCTAACTTTTTGTACTTTCCTCGGATATTTAGTTAAATATTTACTCGTTATGTAAACTAAAAGACAAAAAGTTTACTAAGCCCAATTACGTATTTTAATTTCAGCTGCCCAATTTCAGCTTAAATTCACATATTTTATCTTAACGCTGGTGTTCAATGTTTAGTGATAACATATTCTTATTAGACATTTGCTAGATAATAGTTTTGTGAAGGAAATGCAATGCTAATTTGAAACTACTGAAATTGAAAACATATACCTGTCGTAGAGAATGGTTCTAAGGAAATTCATGCGTTAATGTGCATTTATGTATCGTTAACTGTGTCTCAGAGTTGTCATTTAGACGATTGTATACCGTATCGACTTGCTGATAAAATGGAAGTTAGTCACTGATTCGAGACACCGACTTATTCGCAGTCGGTGACTTGTAATATTTAATTATTTCTTAAAACCATTATCTCATGGATATGTACTACATGATTTCTTGTTGGGGAAAATGTTATTTCTCAGGGAGGGGTAACCTAAGGACTACTTCCGCATTTGAAGACCTTTATTTGTCTCTGCAGGGAAAGCGGAGTCTCATGAAATTGTGAGCTAGCTCACATATAATTTCACAGCAGCCAACGGATCATTATGAAGCATAGTGCCTAGCGAAACTCTGCTAAAATGTTGCCTGCATGCAATGTGTTATGTCTCTCTTTTTTCTCTTCCATCGGGTAACATACTTGAGATGGCGACATCTATATACAAAAAAGAGCCTAAATGAATGAGGGTTGCATGGAGCATTTACCATTCCATAGAATGTCAGATATACAACCCTAGATTTCACGACGGTAGTCTCTTTTTGAGGTTGGAATCGCGATATATAACAGCGCAGGTCTATATTTTAACAGCAATAATCCTGTAACAGGCGAGAGGTGCAATAAAGATATTCTACATTTCCAGATACGGCACTTTAGTCAGTCCAACATTTCTCTTAAAGGACGTTAGATGAACTCATCATTCCCCTTTGCTGACTAATCTAGAGACTAAAAATACTGCTCAGTTGGTTAGGCCATTTACTTTCGCTCAAGTGTCTAAGATGTCCTAGAATGCCAGGCTGCAGTAGGTCAGCTTCCTTCTTTGAAGATCCACCTTCATCCAGGATCTTTCAGCTCATATCTATTTTTTTCAAACATGGCTTTAATTTCCAATCTTAGGAAGTTACCATGATTTGTCTTTTTTAAAATCATGCATTGTCTTTTTTAAAATTTTGTCTATAAATTTTATACTTCAAAATTACAGCATGTAGATAGTGCAGCATAGCTTTATTAAAGTTTATTTAAAAATAGCAGTAATTCCTTATTCTTTCAAACAGACGAGTTAGTGTGATCCTCCAAAGTATTGTGTCTGAAGTAGCGATATATTGTTCTGATGATTCTAAATGGGGTGCTAAAATTTATATGTTTACTTAATATAATGTTAATAAAATTGAAGAATAATGATCTTAATAGCTCAAAAAAAGTCCTAATTCCCTTAAGTAAGATACACAGTTTTTACTGAACAGGATCGAAGTCCTCTATGTTGGTGAACAAAAGTTCTGAGTTTCCAGATTGGATACCTCAGCTTAGCCGTAGTTCTAATAAATAAAATCTTATGGCAGAGGGAGGAAGGAATTATTCCCTGGCATTCAGTATTCTCTGGACCATTCCGGAACGGACGCACTCAAACCTCCTTCTCTTACTTCGTAGAAGAAGGACTCATCAACCGGGAAGGAAGATTGTTACAAAAGCAGCTCATCATTTTTTTTTCATTTATAGGCAATCCGGAGTGAATAAAGCCAGTATATTATTTTATAACTAATTTATTTTGATTATGGCAAAGCACGAGAAAGCTATCTAGCTTAGGGAAGGTATGCCTTTGTTTAGGAAAATTCAAGGGAAACTGGCTCGCGTTTAAGTTACACATAGGGAAAAGCACGAAAACACCAATGCAGTAAGTCCATTCACCTGGAATCAAATCCGGACGAATTACCAGTGTTGAGCAACTTTACCAATCGTTTATTAGTGAGCTCTGATAACGCTGGAATAGCCGCTGGTTTTACTTAACACACAGGAAAGCTTCTTTTCTTCTGACCAACTATCACTCAGATTCATCAATCCATCTCTTCGCTTTTTTTCTCTAGGCAATCCTAAAAAGGATAATGCTCTAAATACATCGATTGTTAACTTATCCTTAACTCTTTCTAACATATTTCTTAATTTTTCATATCGATGTATTTATTTACTCAACATAGAACCACTGCCATCTTAACAGCATTATGGGACCCTGAAGAAACCAGTGCGCTAAAGCCCTTACGACAAATATATTTTTATTAATCAAGTAAAATGACGTATACAGATTAGCATGAGGGTCCTATGCTCATGCTACCTCCCCACCCGTGGAAATCAACAGCTGGCCCATAAGATGGCACTGCCTAGCACTTCTTTTGTGACTGAATTAAGTAAAGTATTTTTTATTTTCTCAGTCGACACTTGGGACGGACCAGATGAGGAGCCAATCATATTTCACGGATATACTCTCACTAGCCGGATATTATTGAAAGATGTCCTTGAAGCTATCAAAAAATATGCTTTCAGTGTGTCACAGTAAGTATGCAAAATTTTCATTAGTCATCGCTGATAAGCAAATTTCTAAAAACATATCATGAATTCTTCAGATGAAATTTCTGAATGTAATTTTCAAAACGTTATTTCTTGTTTGAGTGCTGTTAGAGTGCTTGTTATCGTAACCTACGAGAATTCATAAATTTCTTTTCAGAATATGTATTTAATAATTTTATTGGAATATATATTTATTTCCTATATAATATCTGCATTATAAAACTTAATGCATTATTAGATGAAGATGCGAGGCTGAATTTTCTTCAAGCATTATGTCTTTAGAGGATAAAAAATTGAACATTAATTATTCTGTTTATTTCTGAATATAAAAATGAGTGAATGGAATGGAAAAAGCTTAGTGAATGGAAAAAGCGTTCATAGCAGAAAAATAGAATAAATATTAACAACTTTGAATATCTGTCTGTAACGTTTTATATACATATTTTTTTTAAATTCACAACCGTACCTCTTTTTGCATTTTTAGATATCCGATCATACTATCAATTGAAAATCATTGCAGTGTACCTTACCAAGAAAAAATGGCCCATTATTTCAGAACGATATTAGGAGGTGATTTTTCTTATATTCTTCTTTAATTTCTAAAATAAACTTTTCCCCACAGGTTGTAAAGCAGGTTTTAATTGAATATTAAATTATTTCTTACTCTTGCTTTTCATCTTAAATTTTCCTATTTGCGTAAATTTTTTAAAGCTTCAGAGAGTTTGATTGTTTCATAAAAAAATTCTTGTTTAGAGAATGAATCTGAAGCATAATGTTTAACTGACTAAAAGTTTTCCGTATGTTATCTGTTACAATGTTCTACAGACAATTTTGTGATTTTGTTTAATCAGTTGAATATACGGCTTATCAAAAAAGGTCATGTCCAAAAGACACATATGGTTGTGTCAGGTCATGAGGAATCAAAATTGCATAGGAAACGGGATCGGAAACGCGACTGTAATCCGCTAAAGGCCGATAAGCGCTGGCAGAGGCAAGGGCGGGCAGTCGGATCAGTCGCAACGCAGACGTTGTAGAGAAATGATGAACCAGTGCGGAGCTGGCAGACATGCACAACGTGTATGGCGCTATGGATGGCAATGGACGAACCGGCGGTACGCATGTATCGACAACGGTTCCCGTACCGACTTATATCCGACCATAGACTATTCGAACAACTGCATCGCCGGCTGCAGGAGGTAGGATCGTTCAGTTTCAGCAGCCACATTGGCCGGCAACGTAAGACGCAGACGTCGCGAATGCTATTACGGAATGATATTAGATCCAATGATACGGAATTCACGAAGTATCCGCGCCGTGGAGCGTGACCTAGGTGTTGACCGCTCATGCATTATGCAAATACTGCGGAAAGATCACCAACATCTGTACGACATACAACAAGTGCAGACGCAAAGCGATACGGATTATTCCCAACGTGCAGCATTCGCACGTTGGTATTTACAGGCAAGAAACGCAGACCCACAATATCCGTCACGGATACTGTTTTACTGTTTAACGATGAAGCTACCCATTTCCCGGGATGGTGTATTCAACGAGTACAATAGGCACGTGTGGTCGGCTGTAAATCTCCATGTCACAGGGTCGCACAACCACCAGCGACGTTTCAGCGTTAACGTTTGGCTGGAATTATTGGTGACATGCTGATCGGTGCATGCGTAATACCTCGACGGGGTTTCGTATGTCATTTTTTTTTGGAAGAAGTGTTGCCCACGTTGTTAGTGGATGGTCCCACAAGGGCACGCCTCAACAAGTGGTTCCAACATGATGTGGCTCCCTCACACTTCCATAGGAATGTATTTCAGTTCCTGGACTTGACATACCCAAATCGCTGGACTGGCAGAGACGGCCTCGTGTTGTGGTCATCGAGATTAATGGACTTAACCTCCATGGAATCCTACGCCTGGGGATAACTTAAGTGTCTGGCGTACGAGACACCCGTTTCATCGGACATGGACCTCCAGGCACGTTTCGATGAAACGACTGCACGTGTCCGGGTGATTCATGGCCAATTCGAATGAGTTTGCGAATCCGTGCGGCGCCGTTGAGAAGCATGTATCTCAGCTGAGGGGCCAATTTTCAGCACTTGTTGTAATATTTTTCATTTGTATTTGGTACTTTTTTGTTGTAAAATAAAGCTTTTTTACACCGTTTATTATCTTTTCGTTGCCTGACGGTCACGATGCAATTTCACTGTCCCTATCGCGTTTCCGAGCCCCTGTTCCTCTGTAATTCCTATTCCTCATGATCTGACACAATCATATGTGCCGTTTGGACATGACCTTTTGCGACACCCTGTATATTAAACATTTTGAAATTGCATTTTATTATTAAAGAATTCTTGCTACACAAAATAAGTTTCTCAATTTCGTACCCAGTAGTCAGCTTTTAGACTGGATCGGGAAAATTTAGGAGTTTAAGCTCGGAGAATTTCATGTCATTCAAACTACTATATGTAAGAACTGCAGATGTTAAGTGTTATATATTATATTAAGGGTATTTTTAACGCATCATCTGATATCTTTTTATCATTATAAGGTACACTGATGACGGAGGGCAATTTATGAAGCCAGCATAGAATACTAGGAAACATCTCAGGATAAACATGTTCCCTAATAGATATGGAAAGCTACTTCTATGACAATACTGAAATAACTTACTGTTCTCAACTGTAACAAATGCTTTTAAAGCAGTCAAGTTATTCATCGTATTTGGTAAATTATTTGATTGCACTACAGATGAAAATTTCTAAAAGTAAACTTAAATAATAACAAAAACAAATTTTTATTTTTTTTTCTTTCGTTTATTAGATAGTTTTAAAGACCTAATTTAGGAGATTTAGTACCGTTATTTGACTTTCAAGTTTCTATAAAATCTAATTGTTTAAGAAAAATTATCATTTAAATTACAATTGATTAAATAAATCTTATCTCAGGTGTAAAATTACATCAAACTGATATTCTTTTATTTCGAAATTATGTTTGCTTTAATCGTTGTAAAGTAAACAAAACTGCGATCATATAGATACGCTAGACTAATTCTATGCAGTATTTTACTCGTCAAATGTCATTCTTTAGCTAAATTAAAGTAAAAAATATTTCGCATTCAACTTTTATAAACTAAAGCATTATTTCCATTCTCAGTATATGTACTTACTGCGCAATGCAGATTCTTTGATATCAAGTTAAGGACATTGTATTTCTAGAAATGCACGAGCAAATAGATAAACGTTATTTTATTTTGTGTTTGCATAGAAATAAAATAAAATAAAATTTAAAAAAGAGAAGAAAAAAGATAAAACTCTTATCTGGAGGAAAAATTCCTTGTCACCTTTCTTTTAGATATATATATGAAGAACACTTAACTTGCTTTCATTTTTCCATTGATACAGCGTATAAATATTACATTTTATTTGTTCAGCTATGATTTCTTATGAATTTCGGGCTGCTTTACGTTCTACGGATATAACTTCCAAAATCCTACACTTACTTAAAATGTCTTTCAGTGCTTAATACGTGCTTTGCGTTCTTTCATTAATCACAATTTACTCTTTCAGAAATGTATGAAATATTACTTCTACTATTATCTGAAATAAATTTAAACAAAACTGGACTTTTTATATTGAAGGATTTTACTGGGCAGCAGTTCAATTAATAATTACTATTCATAGGAATTTTAATTAAATAGGTATATATTATTGATATTTTATTCTCATACAAAATTCTTTTTAAGCATGGTTTGAAAAACTTCAGCATTTTATGGCAAAAGATTACAATTTCACAAGCTTAATATATGTATTATAAAAGTCTCATTTGCATAGAAACGAGATGCCCATTTAGAATTATTCTATAGCGCACCTTAATGAAAAAAGAAGTGCGTGCATGTTATTAATAAGTAAGGAAGCTAATGGAGTACCAAGTCATTTCTGGAAATTTTAAATAAATATAACGGATATAAAGCTGTAGGAAGCGGCATTTAAAAACACAACTTATAAACTTTAAGAAAACTTTTAAAACATTAAGCTAAATAATGAGTTTCAGGAAAAGTCAAATGCAACTTAAAAAATAGTTGCATTTATATGATATTTGATGGAAATATCTTCCATTTAATAAGCTTACTACAGTACAGGTGGCATATTTCAACTATCAAATGAACATAGGTTATTCAGGAAATATTTGGATTTTGCATTTATCTTTAGAAGCTTTTACAATGATTATCTATATTATTTTTGAATGATATTCAAATAATACCAGTTAAGGGTTTTACTTGATTATTTTCAGAGAACAGGTACTTGCTAGAATGTTAATTATTCTTAAATCTAACAAAAGGTATCAAAATCCGCCTCACTGTACAAAAACATCAAAGTAGTTAGGCAACCGAAATGTGTTGTTTTCCGGTGAGCCATTGTTTACGCATGGTTCTATATTTTATCTGTTCTAAATTTGAGAAATACATCACATTTCTTTCGAATATCTAAAAGTCCATAGGGAATTTGCATTTGCCTCGGCGATGAAATGTAACGTCATGAAGCTTTATTATTTAAGCGTGTGCAGCAATAAGCAAAGTATTTCATACGTATTTTTTCTTCGAAATTTCAGTTCATGCTTTATCTGCCTTCAGAGTTTCGATCTATCATACCTTCGCGCTCGGTTCTTCGGTGCCTTGGATGCCTCTCCGGTAATTCAGACTACAAGAAAAGGAATTCTGACAGAGTCATCAACAGTTTCGTATGTTGGACACTAGCAAGCAATTTATCCTCATTAAATATGCCTGAAGATATTCTTAATCTCTTTTTTGGTTTGTAATGGGCTGTCCATACAAGTTTCAGATACTCCCTTTTTTAATTCGCTTACGTTATAGATTCAGAAATGCCCCAACGCTATGAAATTATTTAGAAAAACGTCGAAAGTTATTTTCACATTTTAATAACATAAATATTTGTATATTACTTTTCACCTGTAATTAAAATAAAAGGCATATAAAAAGATAATAATAGATAATATTAGCAGTTTCAATATTTAAAATTTCATGACCGAGGGGAATTATCATTTAAAGTTTGCAACCCTTGATGAAAGATCATCAAGGGTTGGCAAACTTTAACCGTTATCTCCTTCATAATACAGTGTTTTCCAGTTTAATTGTACCATGAAATCCGATCAAATTCAATATAAAAATTTTGGATCTCCAACTAGAAGTTTAATTCTTAATATGAACATGAATATTTTAAAAACAAAGAAGAAGTTTTAAATAATTTTAAGTCGTGTAATATTTCTGACAATTAAAAATTACATCAAAATATATTACGAAAAACATAAAGATACTTAAAATTTATTTCTTAATGATTAAATGCAATTAATACTTTTAAAGGAGAACCTTTTCAAAGTTCCGTTTAATTTATGAAATCCGAATTCGTATATCGGGAACGTTATTTCTTCAGTTTTGATTAAGATGGATCAAGAGGAAAACAGTATTCTCGTAATATGGATGTGCTGGTTCATATGAACTACTGGGGAATGTAATGCATTTTTCAACTAAAAATGGTCTGTTTAAAATGTTTTGAATCTCAGGGTTTAAAATCACTTCTATTAGGGCACAATTACGCTTTCAGAAGGCAAAATTTTTAAACTGATCCACTTGCAAAGCTAACGTTTCGCTCAGAAGAGAAATACGCCAAAGTGAAGCTTGAAATTAAGTAAGAGACAACCATGTATTTGGCATATATTTAGACACAAAACTCAGGCGATTTCGAGATCAAACAGATCCCTCTTCATCAGGAGTAAATAAATTTGAAGACTGGTAAGCAGCGGACGTAATGATCCTATTTATACCCTACTGCAGTACTTTGCTCCTAATGAAGAGAGACCTGTTTACCCTTGAAATCACTTGAGTTTTTTTGTCTAAATCTACATCAAATACAAGGTTATTTCTTTACTAATTTTAACATTTCGATATTTTAGGTAGTTAAATAATTAGTTAGACTTTCAGATATCGCTCTTTTGAGGATAAAAATTACAATTTTTATTGCAAAATTTATACCTAATAACAAAAATGCAAATAGGAACTTCTTATGTGTTCTAATAAAACATTAATACGCGTATTTCTTATATTCTTATTGATAGATTTTTCTCTGTTTTAGAATATTTGTATACAGATTGTATCGGAGAAGATGAAAAGGAACATCCATCTCCTGAATCACTTTCGAAAAAGATTTTCATTAAAGTAAGATGTCATATCACTTTTTAATATTTCTCCTTTTTCTCAATTAATTTGTAATATTACAAAATTTTAGCCATTTTACGATCTAATAACAACATATGCGTTAATGTTATACAGAATTTATAATAATTTGGTCACTGTATTCAGTTAAATTTGACCGAACTCTATTCCATAACTCTATGGTGAATAAATTTTACAACTTATCTCTAAGTTTCTGATTAAGTTCTTTATGAGTTTCTTAACTACAGTGGTAAACACGTTTATAAATTTTCTAATTTTTATGCAATATTTTGGCCAAATTTATTTCAATATTTTGCAAGAAAGTTTCTCAAGAATTGATATTTGATTGTCTGCTCTATTGTAATCAAATTTGTAAAAAGGGAATTATCTCATCTGAAAATCTGGCTGCTATTTATCATAAGACACAGGACATGCTAATTAATTTAAAAATGAGTTCATAATTAGGGGGGGAATTCGTCCTGCTCTCGCAATTTCTAATTGCACGACCTCATAAATGCCTCTAGGTATATCACGAATGCAATATATAAATGATTCGATAATACATAGGATGATTGAGAAAATTATAGAATGGATTAACACATAACAGTGCAACTTATTTAAAGTAGATTCTAGTTTTATAATTGAATTATATTTAAAAATACAAAATAAAAATAAAAATAATAAGAAAGAACTTAAAAAAATGTTTTTAAATGTGGATATAGTTTTCTTTTTTATAACTTTTATTAAATTTATGTTTTAAATTTTACATAAACTGTGATACTAAATTTTATTCCTTACCAAAATCATTGACTGATAGTTACACAATGATTTTACATTTTTTGTGTACATATCAAAATTATCTAATGTGGATACCATATGACTTCGTTGTACAGCCTATTAAATTATATACATTTTTTACTGCACTTCATTTAAACTTATTTACTCGAATTTCATTAGAGATATATTTCTAATTCAATCATTTCAGTTCTTACTTCGCGGAAAGGCAAAAAAAAAAAAAAAAAAAAAAAGTAAATACTCAAAATATCTTCATTAAAACTTATAAAATACAGAAAAACTTAAAATTAGAGTTTATACACAAAAACAAGCTTCCTGCCAGCAGGAAAGACGATAAAAAGTTTCAGCTGAAATTAAAACTGAAAGTTAACTTTTGGTCCCACTGGGAAAAAAGACATTGGAGATAGTGCACCAACTCACGGCCTCGAAATTATCCTTTTATATCGTTATGGTCCTCCTTTTCTCTTCAGAAAAACAAGGATTGAGGAATCCTTAAGGAATACTCTGCCTAGGATCCAAAACTGATTTAATCGAACCTTGATATTACACGCAAGATCGCATTAAAATATTTTGAAAGTATGTAATTTTTTAAAAATAAAAAACTGAAAAATTTCAATAAAAATGTAAAAACTCTTTTAAAATTCCTTCTAGGGAAAGAAACTGAAAGATGAACTCATGATGTCCGAGGAATGTCATTTCATGCTAGAAGAAGAGGAAGAAAGAGAGAAAGATTTAGCGAATGCACTGGCATCAGCCCCCACGCCTCCTGGGGAAGGTGACGAAATTATACCTACCGTTATGGCAGCATCAGTAAGAATACTTTAAAATCCTTATTTTATTTACCGAAAATTTATTTTATTATTTGGAATATTTATCTTTATTTACTATACGTAAGTTAAAAACGATTGTAAAAGTATTCTTTATATTCTTAATATCTTTCTGATTTTATCAATTTTTCTTTTAATTATATTGGTCTAGTATTAATATCTTGTTTCCCACAAGCTTTGACTAGCTGCTATTCGTATGAATTTCGTTTCTTATTTCTCATCACATACATACATTTCGGAGGACATAAAAGAGCGTTTTTTATTCTCTGGCCGGCGGACATCAAGTGGTCCTCGAAGCCAGTCTTTGCTGTTCTCCTAGATTTTAAAGACAGACGAAAAATTAAATTCAAATTAACAGCGTATACCACACTGTAACTGAAAATGTCACAATTTGAAAAGTACACATGGCAGTCGTTTATCACCTTTTCTTCCAAGACTAACATTTATGAAATTTGTTAATGGTTCCTTTACATACGAACTTCTCTCTCTAGTCTTGGCAACAAAATAGAGATTTAAAGCTCTGTGACTGTAGGTTTTCTAATCAGCGTACATCCAAATATGGAATAGATTTATAAGAATTAGAAGGCTCATCCATCTCATTAATTCCAGTACAAATATTTATTTTATTTTTAGTTAATAAGGTAAATATTATTCAAAATCTAATAGACATGAATTATTAAAAAAATTTTTTTTCCATTATTCTATTTTCTATTTAAATTAATTTTTTTCTATTTATTTAATTATTATTATTAACATAAAATTAAATGAACTTTAATTAATAATATTTTAAAAATATAAGTGTGCTAGTAGTAACAAATGCTAAAATATTGCTTTCGAAAGGGACAAGAGTAATTTGGTTTGCAGAGCATTCTGTTGTTATTACTTATGCTCAGTTGTATGACGTAGTCAGCTGAAGCCCACGAAATTCACGAAATTCCAAGGAGCGCTAGATTACGCCTGCCGTTGGCAACAGCCTTGAGCACCTTTCAGGCTACAGTGCGATTTAGCTCAGTTCCGCATTCAATTTTGATGGAGAGCACTCCTAGGGGACGAGTCCGAGGGTCTCCCATCCCTTTCCCCTTCCACCAAACCACACGTAAGGACTTTCGGCTCGTCGCATATTTAGAGTGCCGCCATGTCGCACCGACACTATACATTTACGTAACATTCATGCCTTCTCAGGGATTCGAGTCCGGCGATTCGGCACGGCAGTTAGCGACGCTAACCACTATACCGGTTGAGCGGCGCAGAGCATTCTAATATTTAGACTTACTTACTTAATTAATTATGGCAAAGCACACTAGGGCTATCTGCCTAAGGAGAGAGATGCCTTTGTGGAGGACCTTTTAACCCGTCAGCACCCGCAACGGGACATTTCCCACCCCACTTTTATATTTTTAGTAAGAAAAGAAGAAATGCCGTACATGACTGTTCTGGTATTTCCGTTACCTTTCAGGGTTGAGTTCCTAAAGGCGTGGTTGAAAGGAATTTTTCCCACGATGTCTGAATGGCTAGATTATTTACAGATAAAGAGCTGTGGGACGGTAGCAAACCCGCGCGGTGTGGAATGTTCTATTTGTATTCACTACTTCAGTCGAAATGAGTGCGTACGAACGTGAACAAGAGAAACTGCGGGTTCTGCTCGCGAGTGTTGAACCAGATAGTGTATTGGTATATTGGTGTATTGAGGATACGGCAAAGCACACTAGGGCTATCTGCCTAAGGGGAGGGATGCCTTTCGTGGAGGACTTTCTAAGGGAAACTGGCTCGTATACACGTTACACATGGGGAAAATCACAAAAACGCCCATGCAGCCAGCCCGTTCGCGGGATTCGAACCTCGGACCGAACTACCAGTGTTCAGCGATTTTACCGCTCGGCCGCAGGTGGGCTCGAAACAGATAGTGAAATAGAAGATTGTGAATCAGAGCATGATATTATATCAGAAAGTGACCACAATACACATTCTGAACAAGAACATGATATAAATGATTTATGTGTCACGTCTTCTGTCTCATCCGAAGATTTCTATGTGGGAAAAGAAGGAACAAAATGGTCTAAGTATTGCCTTTCAAAAATGTTCGGACCCCGTCGAAAAACATTGTAACCCATTTACCTGGTGTAAAAAAACAATATCGAAACTTAAAAACTCCAGTTGATTGTTTACTTCAAATTTTGGATAATGATATTCTAGAAGATTCGGTCAACTATACTAATATTTATATTTCAACAATAAAAGATAAATTTTCTAGAGAAAGAGATGCTCTTGAAACAAATGTTAGCTGAACTGAAGGCTTTGTTTGGATTGTTATACTATGCTGGTGTTTTGAGGGTAGCGCACTTGAACGCAAAAGACTTGTGGTCTACTGATGGTTTTGGAGTTAGTATTTTTAGAAATACAATGACACTCAATCGTTTTCCATTTCCTTTTGAGATGCATTAGATTTGATAATATAAATTCGCGATCCCAAAGAAAAGAAACTGATAGACTTGTATCTATTAGGGACATTTTTGAAAAATTCTTGAAGAACATACAGAAACTGTACTTTCTCTCAGAATATTGCACAGTTGATGAAAAACTTGAAGCATTTAGAGGAAGGTGTCAATTCAGACAATACATGAGAAATAAGCCAGCCAAGTATGGTATTAAAATTTTTGCTTATGCGATTCTCGCACGTTTTACACATATAATTTAGAAATTTATGCCGGACAACAGCCTATCGGACCTTACAGCAATCAAACGGCATCTGAGTCGTCAAAAGATCATTTCTCCGATAAAGGAACAATAGGAACATAACAATGGATATTGGTTCATGAGTGGTTCCTTTAGCGACTGATTTACACAATTATAAACTTACTTGCGTCGGCCTTCGAAAAAAAAAAAAAATTCCGTAGAATTTTACCTCGTAAGATAGACCTGTACACGCTTCACTATTTGGCTTCAAAAATAAAGAACTTACTTTAACATCGTATGTTCCAAAAAAAAAAAAAAAAAAAAAAAAAAAAAAAAACATCGGTCCTGTATTGTCATCCATGCATGATGACAACAAAATTGATCCAGAATCAGGCAAACAGAACAAACCCGAAATGATGATATTCTACAATATAACTAAAGGTGGTGTTGATACTGTAGACGAATTACAGTGGATGGACAAAAATATAGAAACACCTTGTGAAATGCGTGTTTGAAAAGAAAGATTGATTTTAATGAAATATGTAGGTGGCGCTGGCGTTTTTGACTACTGACGCCACCTATACAACTTCGTAAATGTGCTAAACAGTTCAGTTGTTGTCGGAGTACTGTTATGTGAGGTTGTCAGTGCTTATGTCAGAGTTAACAGACTTCGAACCTGGGCAAATTGTTGGAGCAACGTTAGTAGGTGCTTCCGTAAGCAAGGTAGCCGAGGTGTTTTAGTGTTTCAAGAGGTACTGTATCGAAGATTTATTCCGCATATTTGAAAAGCGGAAAAACATCATCTGCTAAATCACAGCGCGGACGAAAGTGTGTCCTGAGTGATCGTGACAGACGATCATTAAGGGCAATTGTGACGAAAAATAAGAAGACCACAGCTGCAAAAGTTACTGCTGAATGAATGTTGTGTGTACCGAACCCTTGAGTACCAAAACAATTAGAAGGGAGCTTCAATAAACAGGAATTGCCGCCGTGCTGCAATCGAGAAGCCACTCATCAGTGATGCTAATGCCCTAACAGGAAAGGTGGTGTTTAAGTCTAAAGCCTGGACTATAGGCAGTGGAAGGGAGTAATATGGTCTGACGAGTCTTCTTTCACATTGTTTCCCACTTCTGGCCGAGTTTACGTCTGGAGAACTCCATCTCAAGCCTATAATACAGACTGCTTGTTGCCAAGAGTGAAACATGGCGGGGGTTCTGTTATGTTTGGGCAGCCATATCGTGGTTCTCTGCTAGCCCCATGATAACTGTGTCAGGGCACATGACTGCCAAGACTATGTGAACATTTTGGCCGATCAAGTTCATCCCATGGTACAAACTTTGTTCCCCGATGGTGATGGTGGTCTTCCAAGACGACAAAGCGCCTGTTCACACAGCTCATATTGTCCAGGAATGGTTTTCTGAGCACGAGGATAAGTTGTCCCATCTCCCCTGGCCACCACAGTCACCAGACCTGAATATTTTCGAACCTTTGTGGTCTACATTGGAACGGAAAGTGCGTTCTCGTTATCCACCGCCACATCGTTATCTGAACTTGCCACGTTTTGCAGGAAGAATGGTATAATATTCCCTTGGCAAACATACAGGAAACTGTATTTATTCATTCCGAGAAGACTGCAAGCTGTTTTGGATGCCGACGGGTTTCCTACACCATATTAAGCAAAGAAACATGTTTTTTTAAAGGTGTTTCCATATTTTTATCCAACCCCTGTATGTAGAATATATTCAGTTTCAAGAAGATGCCGACGTTGGCCGCGTACAATATTTTTTGGACTAATGAATATTGCCCGGATTAATGCATTCATCATACACAACTCTAACCATGAGCAGAGTAATATGAAACGAAGGGATTTCTTGAAGGAATTATCATTAGCCCTTGTGAAAGAACATGCAGTAATTCGATCAAATATCACATCTCTACCCATTGCACTAAAAATTGGAGTGAAGAGGTTGGCTGGAGTCGATGTAACTAATGAACCAAAAAAGTTTCAAAAGAGAAGCTGTGGACGATGTGATATTTGTCCAAGAAAAGACGACCGGAAAGCATCTATGTCTTGTTTAGAATGCAACAAATTAATTTGTAAGAAACATGTAAATATCTTATGTGAAGATTGTTTCAAAAGTAAAGATTCTGAATAATTAAAAATACTATGTTTTTCAGTTATTGTATTACTGTACTTAATTTTGATAGAGATGAAATGATAAATTGTGTTACTGAACTTAATTTCAAAAGGTATAAAATGATAAATTGTATTACTTAATTTTGAAAAGGATGAATTGATTGGTAAAATTATACGTGAAATAAAGCGGTTTATTCCAAGCTCTGTCGAGCAATAAAACTCATAACTTAAAACACATACTGAAGAAAGAAACTCATATAAACATCTAGAAAAGAACATTAAAATTAATTAAGAACATTAAAAATTCATTTTTTTAAATAACTGATGAAAAATAGTATAATATTTAATTCCTTTGAAAAAAGCTGAGATTTAATTTCTCAAATAAAGTTAACCTACATCTTTGTTACGTAGTAAATTTTCTTAGAGATTATAAATTCTACCTTGAAAACAAACAAAAAAATGTTCATTTCTCCAAATTATAATTGGATTACATCTAATGTTAAATAATCAACTCGAATTAAAAAATTAAGCTAAATAGGGAATTTTAAAATCAAATATGGAGTATACATAGATCTATTGATTACAAATTTTCCATTTGAAATTCGAAGCATATTACTCACAGCTGAAGAAGAAACTGAAATTTTATTCGAAAACTGAATTAATTATACAAGAAGAATGATTAATTAAATATAAGACAGAGTGAGACGGTAATTCTTTTAAAATATCACTGCATACATTTGGAGAATCGGCAATTCTTTAAAAATACCCTTGCATACATTTGTAGAAATTTCAAAGAAAACATTTCAAATCTCTATTTTAGGCAATAATTTGGAATATTACATTATAAGGTATGTCTCCGACTTCCTAGCGTGCCTTTGTGATGTAGTGGTTCTGCACGCTTGATTCCCGGTAAAGGCGTTTGCTAATTTTTCATCTCTCCGGCTTTTCCAATTAAACTAATGTCTTTACAGTGGCTCCCGAACTAAAAGGGTTGCATGATGATTTTCCTCAGAATTTGGCGATTGGGTCCCCTAAGAACCTCAGTCGCCATTTAAAAGGGGGAGGTATGTCTCCCGCCTTCCTAGCGTGCCTTCGTGGTGTAGTGGTTCTGCACGCTGGGCCGGTATCCAGAGATCCGTGGTTCGATTCCCGGCGAAGTCGTTTGCTAACTTTCCATCTTGCCTTCTTCCAAAAAATACCTAATGACTCTACAGCTTCATTATTTTTCAATGATTATTCCTATGCTGTGTACATTTTATGTATTTTTTAGGATATTTATTAAATTGTCAGGGTGTTCGCGAACTATTTGATCGCTGCTCTTTTATCTTTATTTACTGAAGGTAATGAAAAGTACTTACAATGGTAGCGAAAAATATCATAGTTAAGTATTTACAATATTGAAATATTGATTTATACCGTGTCTTTTGTAACAATTCCTGTTCAGGCAAACTGAAAATGATATATTTAAAACCTTTTTAGAGTCAACGGAAACGAATTGCGAAAGAATTATCTGACCTGGTGAATTATTTCTCTGCAAAGAGGTTCAGTACTTTTGAGGAAATCAAAAATTCGTGTAAGTATTAATTTTCCTTTTTTATTTTGATATAGCAATTCATTCTACCCTAAACTTTAACAGTTGCGTCAAAAAGGGAAAGAAAGGAAAGGCAACTCTTTTAAAATGTTTTGTATTATGTTTCTTTTTTTTATGTTTAAATTTCTCAAGTATAAAGACAATAATAATTATTAATAAGTCTCTTGTTGTTTGTGTCCTCTTTTGTTTGTTTGTACTCTTTTGGGAAAAGAAACTAAATAAATATATTATGCAAACATTAAGGTATCTTTATTAAAATGAAATTGTGCTAATTCCTTGGCAGAGAAAAAACCAACAGAAAGAACACATTATTGAACATTTCTTTATGATATCTCATTGAAAATATGAAGTAAACACAGAAGATGCAACATCCTACGTAAATGGCGACAAACCTTCTAACATAGTACATATGGTCACTTTACTTAACTTGCTTCACCAACCTAAGTTAGTGGCACTACAGAGTTAGGAAGTCATCCTAGTCACTGCTAGCAATCTGACGGTTAGGTCGCCTTTCTACATTTTACATTAATTTTTAGTTTCTTGGATATAATTATTTTCATTCACTTGCTTCATTATCCCTAAGATGCCCTTGTTGCAGTAATAGTCCGTGAACAGTCTATTCACAACACGGCCACTTTCATTGCGGACTTTCACTGCGTCCATCGAGTCCAACACTGGTAGACGTTTTGAAACTATTTAGCATGTTCTTCGTAAAATCGTTCAGAACATATTCGTTCTTCTTTCAAAACACTTCTAGATCCTACAGGACGCTGAGTCAGGAATAACTGTGTGTAATTCGCTTGCCAAACGTACCTAAAATGTATGCAAGGAACCTGAGCCTTAGGGAATATGCAAGAGCTTTCCAATCCTTCAACTATTCATGCTATCCTGTGTTGGCGGCTATTGTTCTCCATATACACAAATTCTAAAATCATTGCTTTAAGAAACAGAGATATCATAATCTGCATACAGTACCCCTCTGCCTTGATAGAACCTGCTGCAAAAACACGCATAGGTGGTGTGTCACTATGCATATACCTAATTATACGAGCATGATTCCCATATCAAGAGATTTACTACTAAATATGCGTCCTAGCCCCAAATGATATCCAAATCCTTCTTAACCGTGAACAAATATATGGTCGACAAACTCATCCTTGACAGCATCACTATTTTAAGGAACGATGTTCGTGACAGCACTGTAATTTTTAGTTTGCAATGGCAGAGTGTCCACGAATACATTTTATGCTAATTTGATCAGATGTGCCTATGCAGTCGGTATGAGATGGTTCCAGCAGGATTGCTTGTAACGCTTGCAGCATCTACAGTTTATTTGTACGGACATAGCGTCTCAGCTTGTTTCTGCTAAAGTGGAAACATACAGATTATCTTGTATCAGTGCGCTCTTTCTGCCACCTACTATATATAAAAAAGTTTTTTTTCCAAAATAACAGGAATCTTAGTGAACCGGCTGAATGCATAAGCATTTGTATTTTCAAATCAGCATTGATTGCATAAGCATTTTTCTGGTTTCCTCCCATTGTAACCTGGATACGATCCAGTTTCCCTTAGAAAATTCTCAACTTAGACATCCTCCCTCTTTAGCAGATAATCCTTGCGTGCTCTGTAGTACTCAAATAAACAAAAACCAAGTCAGACCGAAATGAGCAGTTAATAAAGAAGTGGCATTCTTTGCTTTTTATTGCTGCGCAAATCCAGTAATAATTTGTCACGCCTTCTAGCATCCTTGCTACATAGTCAATATCTTATGCATTTTAGTAATGACTTGGACGGTTTTTAAGAAGAAGTTATAAGGTATTTCTCCTTCCTTCTTAGCATGCCTTCGTGGTGTAATGGTCAGCACGCTTGACGCGTATTCGAGAGGTCCGCGGTTCGAGTCCCGGTGAAAGGACTGCTCATTTTTCATCTCTCCTGCTTTCAAAAATACATAATGTCTCTACAAAGTATCTGATGAAGATCTTACTGTTCCACACAAAATTTATCGTACCAGCTTTTATATATGTAGCATATTGTTTTTTGTATATTCTTATTTTGACTAGTTTCGAGTAATGATTAAGAAGAATAGCTGCTCAGGAGGTAAAACATTTTATGTAACTGAAAGGGAGGTTACAACAATAGCTTCAGTAGTTTTCGTCTAGTGGCTATATCGTTGTGATGATGCTCAACATTAGGTGTTCTTTGGCGACTGTCAAGTACTGTAAATAAAACAAATATCCTTTCCTAATTGCTTAAAAGAGATATTATAGCATATTCCTGTACTACATGCGAACTATAGAGAATATAGAAATTATATACTTTCATTATGATTCTTGTGAGCGCTTCATTTTTATAGCTTTTTATTAGTAGTATACAACAAGTAATAGATATTAGACAGACCGAAAAATAATTAATATATTATTTTTGTAATTAATAATAAAATTCATTTATAAATTAACATTAATACTGTTAAAATTGAAACTTTTAAATTGAGTTGAAATAATGACTCTTATTATTAAGCGTAATTTTAATTACTAATTATGAAGTGTGCATTTTTCTTGCTGAAATAAAACTACATATTTTATTTGTATTTATTAGAACATTCCTTTTTTTAAGTAGACTAACTGACGACAGAATGTGTCGGGGTTCCGTTTAAAGCGACAGACTAAAATTTTTATTTTAATTATGAATTCTTTAAACTATATTCAGATAAAAAACAAATTATTTCGACATTGGTCTAATAAGTAATTTTTAATTTGAAATGTCTCAAGGTATGGGGGAATCTCTCATCTACAAGAAACATATATTAATAGCATAATCCGTTTCTAAAGACTGGAGGAATGAGTAGTTATGTTTTTAATGCTGCGCAAAAAGACTGTTGGATTATAAACATAAAGAGGCTAAACATTTTAATCATGAATAATAAAATAATTGAAAGCTGCTTTTAGTATCTGAAAACTTACGTAACCTAATCAGCGATTAAAATTTGGTAAAAAGGCATTAAGCTTAAAATTTATAGTTGTTGTGCTTCAAGCATAAATGACGCTTTGTACTTATTAAGTTAAGATTATTTTATGCTTTTCTATGCCTGTACTTCTTATGTATTAAATATTCCCCATATAAAGACGTTGGATTTATTTTTTTTTTCTATTTTCAGGGGAATTTAACGAAATGACCTCTCTTTCTGAGACCGTGGCCCTAAATCTGGGTTGTACTCAAGGCACTGATTTTGTGGAGTTTAACAAGAAACATTTCTCTCGTATTTATCCTAAGGGGACAAGAACAGATTCCAGTAACTTTGATCCATGTCCATTCTGGAATTTAGGATGCCAGATGGGTATGTGATGTGATATCTCTTTTCTGAATTAAATTTGGTTTATGTTTATTTACCCCAAGATATAAATAGAAAATCGGAAATTAAATTGAACTATAAATAAAAACATAAATGTGAGTACCTGAGATTTAGAAGAGAAAACTATTGCGTCATTAGGAATTTTGATGCTGGAGACGGGAAAAATGCCCAATGCCCTCGCCGGAATTCGAACGCTGGACCTCTCGAATACACGTCCACACTCATCCAGTTACTCCATGAAGGTATGCGGAAAGGAGAGAAAAAATACCTTATAAAATCATACAATCATGAAAAATCTGAGAATTTTGTCACTTTATCAATGCACACCTATCTAATGCAGGAGCATTAAGTGTTTGATAGACTGTAACCGTCCAGAGAATCCGAAATGGAATTTCAAGGGCAATAGGAAGCGAAATTTGGGATTTTAAGCGATTAAACACAAACTGCAGTTAGTTAGTTACTATTGTCAGCTAGCTACCATTATACCATCAGTCAGTCAGTTACTAAAATTATGCCATCAATCAGCTAATTACTACAGTCAGCTAGTTACCTCTGTGCCATCATTCAGTTAGCTACTTGTGTCAATACTGCTGCAGTCATGAACATATTTGAATGAAATGCAAACATCGATAGAATAGTTTTAAATTTAAGAGCGAGGAAAAACTGGATTACTTTACACCTGGATCCTTTGTGCTTTATTGCTTTCCAGTTATTAAGTGTTATTAAGTGTTCCAGTTTTTCAGTTATTAAGTGTTTAATTCGGTTGCTTCACAGAAATTATTAAAATTGTGTTAAATTAATTTGTTTATGTCATAATATGCATTAATACTGTGACGATTTCGCTCCATTAGCAACAAGTTCCTCAGTATACATGAACCGCCATCACATGATCTGCATCTTCGTCTTCCCCTTCCAAGAATGTGACAATCAACTGTATAAAAGAAAAACTCTTTTTATCTGCAAGTTAGCTTCATTTGTGACCTTTTTTTTGATAGCTTTAGAGGGGCAGAAGAAAATGCAAAATTCTAGGACGATATAAGACTTACAATGTTTGGTATCTTCTGCGTTTCTAAAGGAAGTTAAGCAAAGCTAACACAGCATCAGAAATTTAATTTGCTTGATAATCCGATCATTAGCGATTATGTTTAGATAATTTCGGTGATGAAAAATGTCTTTGTCATCCTTATTGATCAGTTGCTGCACAATGAAGTTGATCAGCTGCTGCACATTTAACAGGAATATGAAATTTTAAAGTAAACATAAGTGTTTACTTACTAATGTGTTGTTGCAGCTTATATTACGTGTCTGACATAAACAAAAATGTCCACAAATCTTATCGTGACAATGAGCGAAGATTGCATTTGTACTTGGCACAGGCCTTGAGCATCATACAGGTGATGGTACTTTTTTGCCCAGTTTTGATGGAGAGCAACCCAGAACACGGATCTAAATTTCTGGGTCTGAAGTTCAATCCGTCTTTCCCTACCAATAAACCAGTCAAGGGGATATTGGCTCGTCGTATATTTTAAGTGCCCCCTATATCGTCCAGACTATACTTTCAGTTCTCACCAAGAAACAACTGATGATCATATGAGGGCCCAGACTATACTTACAAGACTACACTTATGGGCATCCATGCTTTCTCCAACATTTGGACCCGAGTCCAACGATACAATAGCCAGGATCATTTACCACTATACCCATTACGGCGGTTAGACACTGAATTAAATTATATTAGTAAACGATAAATAAGGTGAACAGTTTCTTCAGCAGATTACCTGCAGAGGAAAATTGCTGTGCACAGCCGTATTAGCTATGCTTCATAACAATTATTGGGTCTTCAAGAAAGACGCACATGCAAAGTATAAGCGTAAAGTACTGAGTAGTTCAAAAAACTGTTGTATTCAGCATGTATTATGGTTTTGTAAAATGTAAGACTAATTGTTACGTAACTAATATTATGTTGTGAGGTATTTTCTTTCCGCTTACTACATGACGTCGTGGTTAACTGAAAAGTTCGCCCGGCAAGCAATCGGAAGCTAAGGAGTTCAAGTTTCGGCAAGAAAATAGTTGATTTTTCTAGCTTCGAAACATCTAATAACTCTACAGTGTAACCAATTATGCAAACAGTAATGTATGAAATAATATTACAATATAACAATATAGCAACGAAGCTTCTATTTACATAAAATTAGGATTCAACTAGATATCATTTCATTGCTTTTGTTTTTTGTATATTCTCCCTTAATGATGTATTATTTTTAAGAAAAAGTAAAAGTTGAAAGCCATATTTGTATAAACACGATGCGTTTAAACGTAGTCGAATGGCAGCTGAGATAACTTATTACATTCCTACTATAAGCTCACATTCTCATCTATATCTTATTCAAATTTTCAATCGTTAATAAAAAACTTTTTATTCATCCACTCAAGTTCAAATACATTTTTTAAACTTGTAGTGGATGACACTTGATGTTAATACAGTTTTTTCACATATTATTAAAAGTCAATTCTTACTTATTTATTCCTGGTTATCGGAACTAAAGATATACTCTTTTTATTGAATATATTATAATACTTACATATAATGACCGTTTATTAGGAATTCTCACCCTGCTGTAAAAATTAATTTTATAACAACTTATAAATAATAGTAGATGACTGCGATAAATGGGATTGTAATATTTAAGAAAATTAAGTGGCAACAGTAAGAGAGACTTCTAAAAATTTTTAAAGTGTATGGAATTAAAGAATTGCAGTTTTATAGAGTTAGATGAAGCAGATGTAATGTCATTTTACTTCGCAAAGTAAGTTGCGAAGCACTGTAGATTATGCAGTAATATATCTAGAACGAAAACTCTTCGCAGCAGATCAAGCATATGTCACATTGAGTCATGTGAAATTATTAGATGGTATATTAATTGAAACAATGGACTGCTCGCAACTCACTGGAAAGGTGCCTTGCAATAATAAAGAATTAGAAGAGATGGATAGAATGAGAAATTATAGACCACCATCAGCTTCAAAAGTTAGAAACGAAAAAATGTTAATAATGTTAATAAAAAGTAGCTGCAATAAAATTTTTCTTTGTTTATTTAAGTTTGACTTTAAAAAAAGTTATATTACTTGTTATTAAATTGATTTCTCAAATTTTTTTTACTTCAATATCATCTAATCCGATTTTTCTCATACATTTGAAACAACGATTAAGATCCGCATCACTAAATCCATTAAATTGTTCACATAGGTTACTCTTTTCGGGAGCAAGAAGCCAAGCAAGGAGTGAACAAAGTATTAAATTAATTCTTTTATTCGTATTGTTTAATTTACTTACCGCTGTTTCCCACTCATTTGCTATTATTTAGTAAGCAGGTATGATGGATGTGATTCCTTGGACAGAAACGATAACAATAATTTCTGTATCTCCTTTTATATCTATATGAAGCATTATACAAAAAAAAAATAATGTTTGCGGAATTTTCAAGTTTACAATTCAGGAGAAATTTAAACTTGAAAATTCCCCGATATTACCCCGATTACATATATACATATTATATGTATATATGTATTACCCCGATTACTTATATACAGGATACTACCCCGAATTTAACCAATGCCTAATGATAATGTTCTCTAATACCACTGCATTCGAAATAATTTAATTATAATCAATTAAATGTTATATATAATTAAATTATTAATTATAATCAATAAATATTATTTATATAATTAAATATATTTTAATTATATATCAATTAAAATTAAAATTATAATAATTGACCAATATGTGCTTCGAAGTGAAAAATATGTACGTTGTTAAGAATGAATACAAAGAGAAAACTTACTTTGCTAAAGTTCAATGTTTATTTTTTCGCCTGCAGTCGCCCTCAATTACCAGACTTGGGATAAATTCGTATATCTGAATGAAGCGAAGTTCGCCCAGAATGGAAGATGTGGTTATTTGTTAAAACCGGAGTATTTGACCTCAGATAAAAGTTAGTATTGTCTTCTTTTCCTTGTATTTCTATTAGTGCCTTTCCTTTGAAAAACCTGTATCACTTTTAAGGATTATCGTAACTAAATTTATTAAATATTTTAAGAGACTTCTCTCTATTGAATTATAATCAAACAATTGTGTAATATTTTTATTATAAGTTCAAATAACTGTAATTAGCGTTAATTTTTAGAATTAATACTGATTTTAAAATTAAAGCTGATTACTGTTGTTTGAACTCCTAATAACTGTTATTTAGCGTGTTAATTTAGTGAAATCGTTTTGTTTTCATCCCTTTTCCTGATATTTGCAAACAAAGGATGATCGAATATTAACACTTTTTCTTGCTAAATATATAGACAAAATAAAACAAGCATGCCGCAATGAAGCTACATGTTTTACTTATTTTTGAACATACGAATTGATACGCTTTAGACATATTCTTCTGTTACGGCACCACTCCACCAAAATTCTTTTCTAGGAATACAACCAACTTGCGAGTGATTCATTGGACTTCTTGAGTAGAATCACTGCACCATCCATAATATTTCTAGATGATCTACGAGTAAGGTAATATAAACTTCGCTTATTCAAATATTTATATCGAACTGTAATCGCTTCATCTCTAGCCTTGTCAAAAACATTCATCAAGCAAACCGTCGACTCCATCTGCAGGTATTTGGAATGTTGCGTATGAAATTCGAATGTTATTAGAAAACGACTTAGAATTCCGTTATGTGCATGAGGACTTGCAATTTTGGAAAATTGGAAGAGTTCCAATTCGAGAAGTCAGGACGAAGGAACTAACAAGTAAAATGAAAGGCCAGAAAATAACGTCATGTTTCGACCAACTATTACATTTCGCAAGAGAGGCAGCGTATTTCTGAAACATATAAGGCAGGCACACACATTTCGATCACAACACACACACACACACACAAAAAAAAAAAAAAAAAAAAAAAAAAAAAAAAACATGAATAAGATGAACTAAAGACGAACTATGGCGGAAAAAATTTCTCCAGCATGTAGGTTCTAATTAATTAAAATTAAATTAAAGGTAAAAATTAAAGTTGCTTGGGTTTAGTAAAATACACTAAAAAAGGAATAAGAAAAAAATCCTTTTAGATCTTGCAACAAGTTCGATCAATTGAGACTAACATAAAATCATCGGAAGCCCATAAACATTGCACTGATTGAAAATAAAATAAAAATATTAAAGAGAACGAGACGCGTATCTCTCGGAATGATACCTGTGTGAGCAAATTTCAGCATTATTACACATACAGAGAGCCCTGCTAAAACATTACTATTTAAGAAACAGTTCCGTTCTACTACGGTTGAAAAACTATGAAAAATCAGCTTATAAAAGGGCATTCCTACAACATCATTTCGTTTCAGCATTGTTCGACCTAGAACCAAACAAATTGTCACTATCCAGTACTTTTGGCAGCATGTTATAGAAACTCATATTAGCATTAAAATAAAAAAGGCAAAGAATTAAGATACTGAGTGACTAAAATGTTAAATAATCCCCTAATAAGGTTCTGGTCAGCCTTTAGTTTTGATCACAAATAATATGGTTTTTAGCATAAAGTCAAAGAACTGCTAATGGAATATTAGCCCATGGCTATGCCGACTTCATGACAGCTTTAATTTTATTCAACCTGCAGAACTATTTCCAAGCTTGGGAGGATTTCTACAATTTTTCCCACAAGTGATGAATAGAATTAAGGTTAGATCATTGAGTTGGCTATGGAAACAAACTGATTTCTTAATGACGTTCTTCAAATGAGTTTGTGATCAATTATGCAAAGTGACAAAGGAAACTGTTCTGCTGAAAGTTACCACTGCATTTGGGATCATTGTAGCCATAAAGAGTGTACATAATCGACAACAATATTGAAGTAAACTATGGGTCTGAGGGCTGTTTTTAGATGTTTCAAAGGACCTACTGTATTTTTTAAAAATATCCATAACTAAGCAGGAAACGAAATTCGCCGGAACAAGGAATTTCTTATTAATCATCAACGGTCAAGACTTAATCTTGCTGGGCCCACAGCAATCGGGATTTACTTTTAATTAAAGAAATCATAGGTATCCTTGTCGGTGTCCAGCTATTAAAACTTTTCCATTGTAAATTACGTGGAGTTGTACTTTCGGATATTATTTCCAATTCATCTGAATTGCATTGAGTTTTAATTTGTCCTGTTGTTGCTGCGGATAGTATGTGACTGTCGCAATTACTCGGTTATATTCACCAGTATTTTATCATAAGAATTATCCTTACTGTTTGAAATGGTTTTGCTTAATTGTGAAACCACTCAAATCTTTTGTATTAGCAATTTTCACACTAACTGCTCTGACAACTATTTCTCATTAAGATCAGTGTGCTTTATGCGGCAGTTCTGGCTGTTACGGCATTGGAAAACTGATCTATGTTAAAAAAAATGGTGTCTTTAATAATTTCGCCACATAGTGTATTTTTTTAATTACAATCCTTCTACACAAAGAATCATGCTATTTAAGAGATAAATTCAAAAATGCTTAATCTATCCAACAAAATGTATAAAGTTCTGTTAGCTAAGAGGAAAAGAAATCATACGTAGCAGATTTTTACAAAGGGTAGAAAATAGGAGTGAAGATGGAAGCAAAAAATGCTCAGAAAATAAGGTAATTTTGCCGCAGGTAGGAGGTTATCGCTTAATGGTGAAGGGTAATGGTGACTAAAAAATTATTATATAACACTGAAACCTAATACTTTTGATCAATTATCTTTTTAAAAACACATTTTAGTTACAAAAGGCAAATATCTTTTTTATCTTTTGGAACCTGACAATATCACTTTTGTACTATTTGTTTTTATACCACTTCCTTGTTTTGTATCACAAGAATTTTCACCTTTTAGGTATCAAATGATAGCGTTACCCTGTATATATAGGGTGATTAAAATATTTGGCAAAACTATAAAGACAAGAAGAGGGGATCGAGAAACTATGTAAGTCATTAAACATGCATAGTCAATGACGCACTCATAACACGCGTTCGGCGCAATGGAATGCAGTAAGCAGATGGATACAAAAGGCCCAGCGATCTCCCGCAAAGTAAATTTGGACAATTTTCCGTCGTAGTGCGATTGGACAAATGTAGAAGGACCCACTTGACGTAACTTAATGAGTTCCAGAGAGGACATACCACCGCCTTTCGGCTGATCGTTGGGTAGCATTCTAGCCTACAACCTTCGTGCACTTTTCCAGAATGCTATCGAAAGCGTTTATTATTTAACGCAACATACCTATATCTTTGGTATGTTTAGTGTCGCAAAGAATTCCTAGATATCGATTTTTGAAGGGTAGACGACACTGCCTGCCACCCTTAATGCTGCGTTGTTGAACACCACAAACGTGTTGAGCAAATTTGACGGAGTTTAGCAATGGAATTTTCAATGAAGAATCCAGACTCTCGGTTTGTCTAAATAATGGTCGCTTCCGCGTAGGAGGCGACCAACCCAAACTGCTCAGCCTTGCTGTTGTGGAGTGGCATGTTCCTCCGCACAGATGCTATTGCGTGTGCCGCCTAGTAACGTTTAGTCATTCTGCGCACCAATATGATCAGTCAACGTTACCATTCTGTGCCTGTTGTATCGGGAACTATTTTTGTGCATGATAATGCCTATTCGCATGGTGCACAAGTCTCTACGCATTTTCTTCACAATATGACATTTCTACCACCACCGACCCAGTCGCCAAATTGAATCAAATAGAAGATAAAATCCGTTATTTTTTCACCCTTTTTCTTATGTAATTTAGTGAAATTCTCGACATGTTTTTAGACGAATGAAGTGGTACATATAACATTTTTGTTTTCCAGTTTCTTATGATCCCAACAAACCTCCATATCCAAAACGGCAAATCAACGTAACGATAAAGGTAAGAATTTTAAATAATGAATTACAAAATCATATTCCAAGAATTCTTACATATATGTTTATTTACATACAGCAAAAAATAAGCTAAAATACATTAATTTATTTAATGGTGAATTTCTATTGTCCGGGTCGTAAACTTCGGAAGCATATTCTGCCCTTTGTGTATTTAGCACTGATGACAATCAGTCTTACCCTTCTGGTCTATGCAATTAAGCATTAGTTGTAATTTCATTTGCTGACATGTTTGTCCGCATTAAATTCATTTCGCTTTTTTTTCGTCTAGGTTGTAAGCGCTCAGTACTTACCTAAGCCACCGTGCGCATCAGAATCAGATGTTGTTGATCCATATGTGTCTATAAAAGTTGTGGGTCATCCTGCCGATCAAACAAAAAAGAAAACCAGTTTTATAAACAATAATGGTAAATCAAACTCTCTACTTCTGAACATTCCAAATTTGTAAAAATAATTTATTGAAAAATGGTCATAATTAAAAAATATTTAACAATATTTGTTTTAAATATTAACGAAAGTTGAGATGCTTCAGACTATAATTGCTTTAAATGTTCTAGTAGGGACCCAATTTACATTTCACTCACTTTTTAGCTTAATTTTAGTCTTTTGTTTAAATACAAATTCTAATTAATGTACTAAATTTAATTTATATAGTCTTTATTATAATTTTAATTTGGATTTTACAACTTTTCTGAAATTTTTCCTTTGAGGTTTCTGTAATGAAAAATTTAGTAAAAGTAAGAAATGTCCAGATGGTTTTATTAACAATGCATAATAATATACTATTATTGGTAAAGCAAAATTATTTTAATAATTAATTACATAAAATAGTAACTGAAGTAGCTGAATTCTTATACGATAAGAAAAAAAATTTAGTTAATTTTTTTTATAAATGCCCCCAGTTCAGATCATTAGAATGCAGAAGATTAATAGAATGATATCTTTTTTGTTTAAAAGTTTTTAAAAATTGAAGATATTTTGATAATTTCCTTAATTTTTTTCCTTTTCTTTTTTCTAAATAAACATTTCTATGTTAAAATATTTTTAATGTATTTGAATAAAACCCTCAGCTTATTATTATTTCCAATGTCGGGCACTAGCCGTTATATCCGTTGGTCGCTACTAAGGACGGAAGCGGTACTTTATAAGTAAAGGTGGGCCAAAGTTTCTTATAAGGGACAGATAATTTAATGAATTATTAGTCGGGATTCAAACCTTGACCCTTCGGTACGCCAGTCAGAGTTACTAGCCTCTTTCTCAAATAAAACTGCTAATTAACTGCTTTCCTAATAGAATATGACTGAATTTGATACTTCTGGGCACTATATTTCTGAAAAATTAGTTATTTTTTATTTATTTCATCAAGGCTATCTTAGCATAATAGATGACTCGATTTCAAACTAGTTTAAAAAAATTAAGATTTTAATAATGGTTTGCCCTTCAATGAACACATTTAATACAATTTGCAGCAATCACGGTTTTAATTAAAAAAATCAAAATCCAAATGTATTTTTTAGCATTTTTTCATAGCCTATGGAAGACTAAATTTTTAGTTCACCATAAGACTAATGTTGGACAATTTGCCGTCAATCATCAAACTAAATATGCTTTGGACGAATTGCTCGGCAGGTTTCAATTTTTATTTTAATAGAAAAATGGAAAAATGGGATATTTTGTTTCTTTGAGACATTTGGAAATTTCTATGCTTAAAGTGAGGAATTTTTGTGATTTTTAACAGCCATTAAATTTGAATTTCATGAATCGCATGTTAGGATCTACTACACAGAAGTGTATTTGTATTACTTTACAATTATAATGATTGTAAATCTTTATCCTCAAAATTAAATTGCTCTTAAAGCCGGTGCGTCTTAAAATACGGTACTTTTTACATAGAAATTTCGAAGTAATTCAAGTTAAAATAGTTGAAAACTTCTGAAAATACTCATTTGGTATTAGACATTCTTTGCTTTCAATTTCTAGACAGAAACAGTGAATGCGCATGTGCGTTAAAAAATTTCCATTTTTGAATTTTAATTTGAATTAAGTTTGAAATCTACTGTTCATTTTTTAAAACAACAAAAACCAACTTCGCATGGCAAGCGTACAATAGCTTAATAATAACTTACAGGGATGCAAGAGGCTTTAGACGGCCCTCAACTGATAAAAAGAATGGTGGAATCAGGAAGCGCAAAAAGCAACTTATGAGCTTAGGTTGCTTTCAAGATTCAAAGATTTGCGAAAGTATAATATTTTTTTATTTTAAAATACTGTAAATTCAATCAAAAGATCAGTAATAATTATTTCAAAAATTTGTAATAAAGGAGTGCGTCCAGGCCGGTGCGTCTATACGCCGGCAAATACTTGCTTTATTATAATACTCGAGTAAAGCAAAAGATCAGACTACTAAACATGTTTGTAATCTTCTGAAAAATTCTTGGTAAAAATCTTTAAGGAATGCGCGATAAGAGCGCCAACCCCGTTCTTAACCGAAAAACGGATGCGAAACTTAAAAAAAGAGCTTAAATAAAAGGAAGGATATTTAAATGCTTCGATTAAGTTGAAATCTATTCTCATTCTTTGAAAATAAGGAAATAAAATAAATCATTAAAACTTTCAATAACATTCCTTAAAAAAAAAAGGCGCAAATTTTTGGCATTTTTAAATTGAAAAGATCAATAAAAATTACGAAATCTTGAATTTCCCTAGTCACTATCCTTATAGAATACTTTTATACTTTTAATTTCAGAAACTTTTAAGGCAAAAAATCATTTGATAGGGATATTTCTCTCTAAAAATGGAAATCGTTTTCAGGAACTGAAGTTGAATGGAAGAGTAAAATGTTTGCATTTGTACCTAACTAAAAATAAAATACGATTTAAGAAAAGGCTCTGGTCAAAAATAACATGATTATTAATCTAGACGTTTTCATAAGGTTTTCGAAAAAGATCGTATTCACAGAATCTTAAAGTATTCATGTTCTTAAGAGCAGTAGTAAGTTTCCGTACTGTTAAATTGGCAACTCGTAACGTCATAAGAGTGTTAATGATACATTTTTTAGCATTTGAAAGCTCATAAGTTATTTGAGTGAAAATATTTTAGCATACCGTTTGTGACAAAATTACAAATTAAGGGATGATGAATCACTAAAGAATATTCCTTGAATGGCATTTAAAAGAAAAAAAAATTAACCTTGAAATTACTATAAATTATACGTCTGGTTTTAACGAAAATTTCTACCACAAAAAATATCGTCTGCGCAAACAGTTCGCTTTGGAGTGTCTAATCATATTTTTTCAAACTATTTTTGGCATTTGAAAGAAAGAGATTTGATTTAGAACACTGTGTTGTGAAATTTTTTTAAAAATATCCTTATCCTTATGTACGAGGTGTCTAATATGAAACTATCGCGCTACCAGATTAGAACCATCATTTACTTCTAGCAAAACGTCAGCTATAGAATGTTCTCTTGCAAAACGTCAGCTATAGAATGTCACTAAATCATGTGTACAACTTTAGGTACTAATCTTGTATTATATGATGCTGTGAAGGTTTTGTACGTGTTCAAGCCTATGCTAATCTGCTCGAATATCAAAACAAGGACGAAATTCTGTACCGGATCGTCACTTGTGATGAAAAGTGAATTTGACGCTGCTATCAAGGGAAAAAGTCAAATGGAGCTCCGGCACAAAAAGGTAATGTTTCATCAAGATAATGCAAGACCACATGTGTCTGCATTCACCGGCTGGACTCTGTCAGTACCTCCTACATACAAAGCCACGGCACGGCTGACACTACGTCACTAAAATCGTCCTTATCTACAGACAGCATGGTTGCCACATGAAGCCACTTATCGCTGGCACGAGGCAGGTGTTGACAAAGTGGAAAGACGACTTTCGTGACGTCAGAGCGTTCAAGCAACCCTAGAGCCTTGCCTTTGTATGTAGGAGGTACTGACTCTGTACGGACTCGAAAGGGATCTATTGCCTCACCCACCGTATAGTTCCAACATCGCTCCTTTGGACTTCTAGCTTTTTTTTTTCACATCCGTAGCTACATTTTGCTAGTGCTATCTTCCATCCTGCGTAGGATGTCCGAAATGAGGTTGATCTGTTTTTGGTTTCACGGCCACCAAGTTTCTGTGTCGAAGGCTTTGAAAAACTACCAAAACGTTGGCAGAAAATCATAGATTCGAGTGGTGATTTCTACGCACACTAAAGATACTGCTTTCATGTTTTGTTTCTTGTAACTTTATTAAGAACGTTTTTTGACGGAAAACTTTCGTTACAACCAGGTATTAAGCAACCCTTCAGGCATTTTGAACGTGACTTCAAATATTCAAAATTTTGAAATCAAATATCTCGGTCAATTTTTGCCCTATGGGAGGCAAACATTTTTTTAATATTTTTTATAACGAGTATAAGATTTATACCAGTCTACCCGGACTATAAGTAAAGGTCCAGCCATAGCTAAACGTATAGGGACCAGAAGGCCTCACAAAAAGTTATATTTCGTAATTTTTATAAATTTGCTTCTTTTTAAAATCTAAAATTTGCCAGAATAAGCATATTTACATAACTTAAAGGATTTTTATCACTGAATATATATGTCTGCGTCTGTCGGTTGCGTAAGTCAGATGAGGGCTTTTGTGGAGAGAGGTCTAAGAACTTTTGTGGATAAGATCTGAGAAACCTTATATCTAAGAAAACTTCGGGAATATCCACCTGAAATATTAACTTCAGTGTTTAGATCGTATTCTCATTTTTTTGGTCATATTATTAGCGAATAGCATACGGTGTTCAGAAATACTGTTTTAGCTTTAAAAAGTCTAAAATACGTAAAACTTCTGTGGAATATTCTGTGCAAAAACATTTTGCGAGTTAATTCTTAGTTTTATAAAATGAATGTTTACAATTATACCAGCATATTTTCTTTTTAGGCTATCGCCATATCTTCTTGGAAGATTGTAGAGGCCAGAAACTAGAGAAAGCAACGTTATTTGTACATGTCCAGATGTCGGAATCTGAGCAAGAATGAACGAGTGCCAGAGTGCCAAAGTTTCATTTTTGGTTTTTATGAACTTTGAAAAGCATTCTTCATACTTCTGTATTCCATCAAATCATGATTCAAAACGCCGATCAGTCTTATTTGAGGTTTTGGATGAATAAATGAAGGACTGCATAACTATGCCCTAAGACATTTCACAATTTCCAGCTGCAATCACTCAAGAGTAGAAGTAAATAACGTTTAACAAATATGATGTATTTTCACACGTTGACCTTTTATCATTAGTCATTTTTGAGGATTAAACATAAATAAAATCCTGCATTTATATAACAGAAAATAAAACGATAAAATGAGACATGTGTTTAGTTCATTTGTTATATTCTTAAATATTGTACTTCTTAAAACTCATTAATTCTCTTGGGAAAAAATTATTGTTGGAAAATAATAATATATAAATTAGTGCACAATTCTTGTCAAATATGAACTAACGCTAGAAGAAACATTTCCTCGCCTATATTTATATTGTGCACAATTTTACTTCTCTGATTTATATGACATTTAAAAGATACCTAGAAAGACAATTTTCTATTACTGAAACTAAAATTTAACCAAAAATAATTGCTAGGGAATTCTATGAAATTATTACATTTTTTCTTATTTCGTGGGGTGAAAATGTTAAATTTACTTATACATAATAATGAATGCAACATGCTCACATGCTCTAATTAAATTTAAAAATTATTAAGTACATATTATGTAGTTATGCAGTATTAAATTATCGTTTTGTTTAAGTCATTAACTGAACATGAAACAAACCCCAAATGTGTTAAAGCGCGATTTGTTTTTTTTCCGTAATTCTGAGAAAACAGCAAAATTATATTTTTTTTAATAGTGTACTACTTTCATAGCTTTATTTCTAAAATTTTATTATTTTTATAAAACTGCATTTTCTAAGGTATTTCAGTTTAATTTGTTACCTGCAGCCCTGTTAGCAGTATTAAATATAACATTTCTCACTTCGCAATATGGACAAGATTTGTCTTTTATATTGCTTTAGCTTTCATTCATGCCTGATTATTTTGATGGATGATCAGATTTATAAACAAATCATTTGCCATCACAAATAAAAATTTTATAAGGAAACTTTGGAGTTTAATTTTGTTAAAATTTAATAGTATAGGTAAAAAACAGAAATAATTTTATAAAAAATGTTACTTAGTAATACATTTAATCAACAGAGATCAGATAATTTCTACTAATTAATTCAATTACGCGATCCACTCCTCTCTGAGAATTCTTTCATCCACATTTATAACTAGAGAGCAGAAACTTCACTATCAGTAATTGTCTCAAAATAAAAAGTTATTACTTTGAAATTAATACCTTTCTTTATCAAGGAAAACTTTTGAGTAATACTATGACCAGAATCATTAATTTGACCATAATAACACGATTTTGAGTTTATGACACTAAAATAATTTTATGATAATATTTCATCGAATTAGCTTCTGAGGCTTTCACCCAATCAAATATTTTAATTAAAAATATTTTTCGTATTGGTAGCAATAAAAAGAATTTTAATGATATCATATTTTGCTTTGTAGCTTTATTCTAAAGTGTATTATCTCCGTGTTTCCTTAAACTTTCGACACAGACCCTTTTGTCATGATTCCTGATTAAGAAACCTAAATTTCATCAATAAAACAGCATTAAAATGAAACAAATATCTCAAATTTATTTTTAAATGCTCTGAGCCTGCAAAAATGAGAAATAGAATCATTTTATATGCATTCCAATCTTAAAGTTACATTTTCCCATTTGTGCATTCTACTGGAAAATGACACATACCAAATAAATAAATAAAAGTTAAAAATCTCTTTTACACGTGGAATTTGAGATGCACATAAAAATAAAACTCTTTTTTCACAGTTATGTATTTTAACTCGAGCTATATATTTTTAAACCTGAACTGGTTGCAGAGTTAAAGCAACTTAACCAATTTAAAATTAAGCAAATATTCAGTTTTATATTAATATTGATTTGGAAAAAAATAATCCGCATCCCGATGGAGATCTTCAAGAAGAGAAAATATTTTTAAAAATATAATTTTTGAGATTTTTGCTTTTTTTCTATTTTGATTGCCAGTTTGCCTGTTACCAGTTTTATTACCAGTTTGCACCAGGCATTGGCAATCTCGATGGATTGAATCAATTGAATAATTATGCTATTACTGTTAATTAATGCTATCTTATTTGAATATATAAAATACTTTGTCTACAAAAGTTATTAGTCAAATGCTATTCTTAAATTATCCTGCGTATGTATAAGAAATTTTGCTAATTTATGAGACTGACCTTTGTACTCGTAGTTGATTATTGATGATGACGATAAAGACAAATTAACATCCATTCTTGATCTTTATTTTTACAAAGGTATTTATATATATTTTTATCATAACTACTTAATTTACTTTGAGTTTCAAATGTGCACCGTGTTTTCATACAGCGAATTTTGAGGTTTATGTTGTATGGCCATTAAAGTAAAATGCTTAAAGCTTATCAATTTTATCTAATTTAAAACAGATACAGTCATTTCTCAGTAAACGTATTTGGAATTTTCGATTCTGTTTTTTACAATTAACTGAAACTTTCTTCTTAACTCGCACGAAACATTATTAGCCGTCTCTTTTAGCAATTAATTTTAAAAGTTAATTATTACGATTATGATATGTAGACTCAAAGTTTCAGGAAAACATTTTCTTTCTCTCTCTCTCATATTCTACTCAGACATTTATTTCCAACTTTCGAAGAAAAAAAAAAGCAATTATTTTTTCATTAAATGAATTTAAAAAAAAATGATATTTTCTAATTAATCATTAGGAAAATCATCTGTGATTTCGTTCAGGTGGGGACGATCGAATTTTAAAAAGTAATGTAAGATCGCAAATAATCATCTTCGATTAAAACGCCATATTTAATCAAATAGTGCATTTAAAGGCGATTTGTAGTTTTTTCGATTTAACTCACTTGCCTGACATTAACATCAGATCAAGTCCATGAATTTATCTTGTCAAGGGATACAGGATTACGCCGTTGCCATGTTCTTTGAAAGCTGATGTGGGACTTAGAAAAGTCTCTAAGGAATTTTGAAAGAAAATCCTCCTAGGGAAGGATCCGAGGGTCTCTCACCTATCTTCTTTGACCACCAAATCATTCCATAATCTGTTCTCTGTGTATTTTAAGTGCCACCATGCTTCAAAGACTCTGTACACTTATAGATAACTAAGTCCTTTCCGGGGTCAGACCCCGACCGAACGTCAGCCAGGAACGGCAACTACTGTACCAAACTGGGTGGCCAAGGTGATTCAACCAAATATTGCATTATTTATTATAATTAAAGTTTACGAAATGATTGCAGTTTAGAAGTATATTCTTAAATCAATTTTTGTCTCAATATGTAGGTTTCAGGTTCTAAAATAAAGCTCTGAAAGATAAATGTATACATTACCTTATCTCATAAAAAATTGATAACTTATCTTGCCAGACTCGGATAGCAGCAAATGACTTCCAATGCAGATGTTTAGAAAGTAAAGGTGAATTTAATATGCCGAGTTTGCGGTATCATAAAAAAATTGCTTAGCTGCTCTAATATACCGAAACCCGTCAAGTTTTGCTACACTTTCATAATATACCGTTACTATGAACAGGAAAAAGTCTCTTGGCAAAAGTAAGCTTTTTTCGTTTTGTGTACTTTTGGCTAATAATATTCTCCATTAATCGTACATTTATGCACTCACTTCTGTTTTTTCTGATCAAACTAAATTTAACAGCATAATTAATCATAAATTTTTATGAAGAAAATTTCTTAATCTATCTTTTTGTTTGAAAACATTTTGAATTTGATTGATATAAGCATCATTACCATCCATAAATATTGCCATAACAAAGATAATATTTGAATGCTCAGATTTTTTATTTTTCTGCATAAAGAAAAGAATTTAATCATTTATATGTTGAGTTCAAATTTTGATCATGCTTGAACAAAATTAGATGTTTTTTTAGGACGGTGTCTTCTGTATCTTCAATTTGTGCGTGTCTAGCATAATGTAAAACATATCATATGCGAAAGTAACAAAGCAATTAAAAATAGGAAGTAATTATAATTAATAGTTATTTATTTACGACATTGAACATGTCATTATCTATAGATATTGTTTTTATGCATCTTTAAATTTTGATATAAATAAGAAAAAAAGTGTTTTGTTTAAGTTTAATGCTCACCAAAATGCGGATTAATTACTATTAAGTTCGAGAAGTTAAATTGTTAAATATATGATTGCTGTAATTTTTAAAATTAAGTATAAACCTTTTACTGTGTATAATTATAGGGATCGGTACCCATATAAAGTTAGGTTTAGTAGTTTTTAAAATTTAAAAAGTCGCATAAGGGCCATAATGTGAATATTTTCCTTAGTTAAAGATTTCTGTACTAGAAGTGTATATAGAGATAAAGATAGATAAAGTTGAGAGATATGAAACCAATGCTTGCAAAACTAGACCGCCACAGGATATTTAGGCAAACGCGGTATTATGAGACATGAATTCTTCTAGTTAACTTTCAGTACATTGAAGTTCTTTTTCTTTGTTTTCTTTGGCAATGAACACAATTTGAATCTATAATAGCTGTGCAATAAATGAAACTCTTGAGTATTGTTGTTTAGCTTTGATAACTAAACTACCAAAAAGGTACTCAATAATGTTTACTTTGCATTCATGTTACAAAATACCAGTAAATTTCTATAGAACGTTTCTGAAAGAAAATTCTACAAGACCGTAGTTTTTGTATTTATTTTAAAATAAAGTACATAGGTTTAAAACATGAAACAGATTTCTTCCTCAGATCAGATTGAGAACAGAACGTTTTGAAATGGGAGTATAATTTAAGTATTTATGTTAACGTCTTTTTAATTACAAATGAATAAAAATGCACCTCGTATCCTATAACGATGGTGAATATATAAAGAAAAAAGCAGTGAATTTTGAAGTTCGCTGAATTTTTTACAGTGTACATATATCCCAAAAATTACGCAAGCTAAAAATTCACGTTTATTAGTTAATAACTTATACAGCTACTAAACTATGTTTAATTACTTTAAATCACTGTACTCATTTATATAAAGGGTGACTCTAAATCATTTTTACAAATTAAGAGGTTGATAGTACCCGTCCAGGCGAGCTATAATTAACCATAGAATATAGGATCGCATTTCGCTCTCAGAGACAGAAATGAGGAAACTAGAAAAGCATCGAGGAAGAACAAGGAGACTATCTTCTAAGGACTATCAAGAATAAATTG